ACTACAACTACATTTAATATCTCGACAGTTCAAAAAAAGCGACGAGTTAAGAACAGTAAAATTTTTTCGAAGGAGCATATAAATTACTCACCTAAAAAAATAACTACAATTTAAAAAAGATACAAAGTTATTCCTCAGAACTACCACTTCTCTCTGTGGTTGCATCCATATAATTTTGTGTATCAATGTCGTTCCCTACCTCTTGTGCTCGATGTCATGTCAAGAGCCAATCTCGGTTGGCAACAAGTGTATCAAGCGATTCAGCACTAAGGCAACTGCGGTAGTCGGTTAGAATGTTGTCGCTAGAACTGAACTTTTGATTCACAGCTACAGTTTAAACTGACATAGATAACACATGTCTGGCTAGCATTTTGAGTGACAAGAACATGTGTTCATTCCGCTTCCACCATCCGAGGATGTCGAACTCGCTATCGTTGTATTCATCATAGCCGCATGGAGCGCCTTGATACAGAGTTACGCTTACCTGTTTCACCAAGAGGCCACCGACTATCACTTTAAAATCCTTTTTTGTTTTTGGAACAGGAGAAGCTATTGTTTCTTCCGGTGAAGTACCATATAAAACTTGAAATTCTTTAAATAATGACTCAAAAAGATCAATAACATTATCTCTTTCTTTTGTCAATTGTATTAATTGATTATAAAAATAAGTATTTTCATCTAAAACACAATTATAACAATACTCTATGAGAATTTTTAAAATTCTCAATCTTAAAGTGTGGAACACAAATAATACTACTTTTATAAATATCAAGAATATATAATTAATAAGCACACTATTTATCCCTCATAGAATACACATCAGGGTACAAATATGGATTAGATAAATTTTCATGAAAACATGTAGCAATTGTAATACATTCGGAAAAAATATGTTTGTCGTAGGTTTATGCTAATTAAATTAAATTTTAGGTCATCAACAAGATAAATATCATTTATGGTTAAATCACTTGAGATATCAATCGTACCTTTACCGACCACCTTTTTTCTTGTTTTGTCTCCAAGAGTCACATGTGTGTGGATTTTCTTCTTGAGATTGGTGAACCATTGTCTCGTGCAGGTCATGTGTCTTGAGAACACACTTTCCACTATCCAAGTAGTGTTTTTCACCTAGTCAAAGAGGAATCAACTTTTGATCAGGGTTTCAAGATCCAATCCACAAAGACTCTATATCAGTAGGCGGGTTTTATCTTGGTCGGATTTGAAAGTGGTATGTGCACCTTCCAATTTTCATCATAATAAAAGAAATAATATCCATCATTATTTCCTTTATTTTCCTGCAAATGGGTTTGTTTTTCATATCCAACTTTCTTGGATTCCAACTGGTTAGAATCTTTCTCTATCTATTTTGATTTTTGCATTTGAACTCATTTCTTATTTGGACATTTTATCACAATATGATTAGTTTTCATGCAATAATGACACACCTTTACTTTTGATTTAGAAGTTGAGGATTGGTTTGATGAAGGAATTTTGATTTTGTTTTTAACTACACTCATCCAATTTTCATTGTCACCGAAACCAATTCCTTCTTTCGAAAGTTTTGGATTTTGGTTATTCCACAATATTTTAGTGTTGTAGCTATTATAAAATACTTCCAAAATTCCTTTTCTAGCCTTATCTTTTTCAATTAGTAAGTTTTCAAAATGTCTTTGAAAATCTTCATTTTGCCCTTGAAGCTTTTCGAGTTTGGTTTTTAAAGGTTTGTTCTCTTCTTGAGATGCTTCAAAGGATGCCTTGAGTTCCTTTTTCTCCCTCATGGCACTCATCAAACGCTCTTCAAAAGTGAATTGGTTGTCAAATGAAGTGAATGAATCTTGAGAAATAACATCTTCTCCATCATTTGATTCCACGAAGCAAGCATTTGCATTCTCTTCTTGGATTTGGTCATTATCGCTTATGTCCGAGTTCAAATCGTCCCAAGTGACCTTTAATGTCTTCTTTTTCCCTTTCTTTATCTCTTCCTTCTTTTTGAGCTTTGGGCATTCCAGTTTGATGTGCCCTACATTACCACATTCATAGCAAGTGATTTAGTTGGATTTACCTTTATTTGGTGGAAATTTTTCTAAGGAATCACCTTGGTTCCATTTGATGAACTTCTTGTATCTTTTGAACATGGCAAGCTCCTCATTACTTTCTTCCTCGCTTTTCGAGTGATCATCAATCTTGAGTCCCATGATCTTCTTAATGATGAGAACTTGTTCTTCTTCCTTCATTTTTCTTAAAAGAAGCTCATGAGAATATAGGCTACTCCAAATGGAGGATGTTTCAACATCCGCACATTTGGGTAGCAAATTTACCACTGAACTATGTCATTCTCTAAGTAATGAAAAAATGATTTTAGTATTTATCTCACTCTTAGGATAAACTTTATAAAACTTACTCAAGTTATTGATGATGGGGTTGAACCGTTTGTTCATGTCTTGTAATAATTCTCCAACATTTATCTTGAAATTCCCGTATTCACACGTCCTTATGCATCTCTTTAGTTTAAGCCCCTGCTAAATTTTCTAGCCTGGGTTAGGGATAAATTGCTAATTTGTGCTCTTTTTCATAGGATTGTGGTGAAAATGAGATATTGCTCTAGGCTGTTTGTATAGACGATGTTATATCTATGTTTGGCAGCTTGGGTGTTGTTGTTGGCTGCAATGGCATTCTTGCATTCCGGAGTGGATTCTAAATAACCGAGAAATGAAAATTTAGAACTCTTCCCGTATGTCTCTACCCTAAAGTCCTACCACGGAAGTGGAGGATACTTGAGGAGCTTATTTGATGTGTTTGTAGTTCTCTTGAGAGGAGCACCATGGAAGTTGGTTCTTCTCTAGAGGATTCTTTCACGATTTTCACAGAAATGAAATTAGGATGATTTGCTCGCATTCTAGTTGATTTCTCTTGTTCCTCTGTCCCTTTGGCAATAACATGACTGATATGGAAATTCTTAACCTAGACTTGCTTTCCTTTTTTCTTACATTTCATTTTAGTATTGTTTGTTGCATTAGTTTAGTTCATTCACTTGCATATAATCACTTCTCTTTCTTTTCGGCCTTCATTCACATTTAACAATTTGATATTAATATTTAGTTCCACGTTGACTCAATTCATAACCAATAACGCTATCTCCATGGATACGACATCCTTTATTTCCACCACTATACTCATTCTATTACTTTTTCACACATTCCATCCCATTTCCATTAATTTCACTAACTATAACTTTCATTTTTTGAGCAAGAATTTTGGTGCATAACGACCAGTAAAAAAATCTTTTATCATAATGACTTAATAAATATGATGAATACAAAGAACACATGATATTTATGTTGAAATACAAATTAGAAAAAAAACATAGATATACTATAGGGGTACCATGTCAATGGATTAATTTATTACTAGTCAGTGAGTATTTATATAGTATATTTGCATGATAACTACTAATGGAGCTTGAATCTCTATGGAGAAGTTGATGAATAAGAGATGAATTTGTTTGTAGATGGTAGACGGAGACCCTTTTTGTCATTGGCTTGCAACCTTATTTATAGTAGAATAAGAGTGAGATAGGATTTTCCTAACGAGCTCCCCCTAATGGGCCGGGCCCATTATCATACAGGCACATGAAATATTATCCCATCAATATTATTTTATTAATACTATTTCACTTCACAGTGTATTTGCTCAATTTAACATTTTTTGAATCAAATTATATAAATTTTAATCATCAATTATTGTTTATTTGTGTTATATATTAATACAATGAAATGTTGTTTTGAAATTTTTAACAATAATAATCTAATGAAATTATTTTTGTACTATACATTATGTCTTTTATTTAATTGAGATCCAAAATTTATCTAGTTTTACTCAAAAATTCAAATTAGACGAATAAACTAGACGTCTAATGTATTTATCGAGTTTAACTATTACTCCAGGGTACCCTCAATATCTAATAATAACACTCAGATCCCACATTATCTAAAATAATATAATCTAGAGTACCCTAGAGTAGTGCAACGCCTAAGAATTGTTACCAAAAAATCGAGAATACCTTGAAGTGTATTTCAGATAATGTGAGACCTGAGGGTACTACCAAAAATTGGGTTCTCGGAGCAATTTTATGCATGTTTGTATAATACAGCAAAACTTTGAAAACTATCCACAAGATAAATTTAATAAAATCTTTTTTATACTAATATACTCCATCTGCCCAACAATAAACTTCTCATTTTGAATAACATGCTAAATTGGTATATAATTAAAAAGTATAAATTATATTGTTCAAAACTACATCAAAAAATCTGCAAAATAAGAGGCGGCAAGAATGTTTTATCTTATTTAATCATTGATGAAAATATGCAAACAAACCCAAGTTTTTGATAAGCCATAATAGCAACTGGAAAATTTATTGTTGGATAGAGAGAGTACATTACTCCGTATAATTTTTGTTTAATTGATACATATAATTCATCTAATTTGATTTTAATTAAAAAGTCAAACAAAACAAATATATATATATATATATATATATATATATATATATATATTAGTGTAGAAGAATAATAAAACAAGCAAAGAAAAAAAAGGATAAGACTCAAATAGAATACTCATTTTACTATTTAAAATTTGTTAAGAAAATAATACAAAAATATTGTAAACTATCGGTATATCGTGTTACATTGTTACATTACAATAATTCTATTTTGGGAATACAAATTAGATCTATATTAGCTAATGTGTATGTTTTATTTCCATTTGAACATCATCCATCTGAACTCCGGGTCATATTATGACTCGAGCCCATACGGTATTTCGTTCGTAAAATTGATGATTCCTACTGATCTAACTACTGCCTCTTATTACTGTAGCCAACCGGTGATTTGGGGGAGGAGGGCAGGGGGTGCTGTGGTGGGTTGGACAGGTAAGGGCAGGGTAGAGTTTTGGAGGAAGTTTAGAGAGATAGGAACGATCAATTTTACGAATAAAGCGCCGTAAGGACCTCGGTCATAATTTGACGCGATGCTCAAGCGCCAAAAGAACCATTTTGTTCTTTATTCACATTTATTATTGTGGGGTAGTACCTAGCAATCTAGCATTTTGCATTTTAGATTACTCCGTATTTGTTTATTTTTAATCCCAAACCCAATCCAAGGGTCTAGCCGTCGGAAGTGACCCCAACCAATGCCAGGGCCGGGCTGCACAGAGCAGCGCGACGAAACAATTTCTACAGTGCAGCGCGGCGAAACAATGGCGAATGGACCTGAAGTTAACCTCCAACGGTTTCTCCAATGGCTACATGTATAAGACGGCTTACATACATTGTTCACTTTCTCGTTTGTTTTTTCGTTCTATCCGTAAACAAATACTGATTATACAAGCTTCTGTGAAATATTCTTGGATTTCTTGCTTCAATTGATTACAACTTCTCATTTCAGTTGAATAACGTCCAGCTACGCGGTTGCAGTATCAAGTACAGCGATTCGAACAAAGGGTTTGGGATTTTTTACTCTAAAAATATCTGTGATGGTAATTTCAGTGCAGTTTTTCTGGGAATTTTTTTAATTGACGATGATTATTAAATTAATAAGCTGCATCAAACCCTTATATTGATTGTTGGAATATTTAAAAGTGGCTGGAAAAAAGGAAAAGTGAATATTTTGAGCTTTGTAATGTGAAACCCAGCAACAAATGCCAGTTAATGGCGATGATTTTGATCTGAAAATGATGATTTTTGTCTTCATGTGTTTCTTTTTACTTCAAAAAAAGTTTCTCTTATCAGTCTGCATTCTCTTCATTTTCCCCATTCTCTTGCATGTTGTGATCCAATGATGGGAGTCTCTTACTTTTATAGTTTTATCACATTGCTAACATTTATCTGGCATAAACTGAAAAAAGATGTTTTTGATATTATTATACGGAGTATGAATTAAAGTTGAATGCTGTTTATTTGTTGGTGGTGTTGGAAATTTCAGGGATACAGCTGGTGGTTCCACTTGATTTAAGTATAACTCCTATGAGCATTTATCTGGCATAAACTGAAAAAAGATGTTTTTGATATTATTATATGAATTAAAGTTGAATGCTGTTTATTTGTTGGTGGTGTTGGAAATTTCAGGGATACAGCTGGTGGTTCCACTTGATTTAAGTATAACTCCTATGAGGGTGCTTCAAGATCCTCTTTTTGGACCTCACTGTCGGGCAATGTATGAGGAAGAGGAAGTGGATGACAGGTTCTTGATTATTTTGTTCCTGATGGTGGAACGCCTAAGAAAGAACTCTTCTTGGAAACCGTAAGCAATGCTAAGCATTTTTCACATTTTTACTGTAACTTTGCCCTTGTATGTATATATATTATAGTAATGGTATATGATGATCTTAATAGGTATTTTGATATTCTTCCTACCAAATTCCAGAACCCACTTTGGTTTACAGATGATGAACTTTCTGAGCTGAAGGGGACTACATTGTATCGGGCAACTGATTTGCAGGTATTGTTTCTTTACGCGTGATGCCATGATGCAGTTAAGATTACATACTGCTATTATGGTTAGATTTGTCCAAGTTCCAACCATTAAGTCTAAGGATGATGACTCACAGTATGATGATTGACGATTCAGGTGTTTGGAACTTGCTCTGTATATATGTACTTTTTTGAATAATAATGCTTGATTGCAATCTAACATTTTTGGCCGATCATAAATGACTGAATGCATGCTTATGTTCCAGAAGCAAAAACTGCACCATCTTTTTTATGAAAAGATGAAGAAGCTGGCTGAGGAACTTTTGACTCTTGATGGATTCCCTGGGAGGTGTGTGCAGTTTTTCAATGATCATCACCAAGCGATCAAAAGTCATTTTATTGTTTGCTGAATCTATTTTCACAATTTTACAAATGATATCTATTTGATTATCTTTTAATTGTTCTTAACTTTTAACAGAAAAATAACCTTTGAGGACTTCTTGTGGTACATTTCTTTCTCAGCGGCTTCCTCTCCTTTTTCTGATTTTGGCTCTTCATTTTTGATGTGCTATTGTAATGCTCAAGTATAATCACAAGACAACCAACTTATGTTGCAAAAATTATATCTATCTTAGGGCAAATTCTGTATTTTGGAGTCGAGCACAAAATATACCTCTTCCACATTCCTATGTATTTCCAACAAGTTCAGAAGGACAAGGTAGAACAACTTCATGAAACTCGGAGATTCTTAGACATCTACTAATCATATTTGTAGCGACAAATCGGATAACAAAGAGTGGTATCAAAGTGATGTCCCAGTCCACTGCATTTGCTATTCAGGCCTTTTCTCCCTCATATGCATGCTCTGACTTCATGCTGTGGAAAACAGCATTTAACTCTAGTAAGTTGATGAATTTATTTCTGGATATACTAAGTACCACCTTACCCCAGAACTTGAGCCCGATGAACTTTCAAGAAATGGAACCGCTATTGCATCTAAATCTATAGAAGATACAGTGTGGGTAGAAGGTCTTGTTCCAGGCATTGATTTTTGCAACCACGGTAAGTTGCACTTATGATTGCCATAATGTAATCGTTACTATGGTTTTTTGTATACTTGCTCGACGTGTGTTAACTGTGCATGTGAGACTAGGATTTGAGATTGTGACATTATGTAGTTTAACGTGTGCATTTAGTAATTTGTTACTTCAGCGTGGTCTTTTTGACACCATCACTCATTTGATATTATGATGTCGAGCCATTTTGAGGCCCTATGGTGCTCTATTGAGTCCGGGGCCGGGGGTGGCTTCAGGGGTCCAAGTTGGTGGGGGGGGGGTGTCAGTTTTCTACAGGGACTGGGATCAGTATCAGCCAGGGGTAGGGGTTGAGGTTTTTTGGGGGGTTGGGGGTAGGGTCTGGTGCCCAACAGTGCACTGTAGGTGTTAAGACCACTCACACATGCGATCAAGATGAAGGTGTGAAGAACACTAAAAAACAAGAGAGAGAATGCAGAATTTGATTGACGAGATCAATCTCTAAGTGGGAGAAAAGTTAGGTTGTAGAGCCCGATGTAATATTTGGTACTGTTAAAAATATTCATTCACACACTTCAACCTTACGTTAGGGCCCCTATCACATTCTAATATACTATTATGATACCGAAATCTGTGTGAACGAGATTGTGTAACACTACATCAAATATTACATCATGCTTTAAAATCTAACACTAGTGCCCCTGTGTCAAAAGAACTGTGGTGTTGTTACTTACAGTTACACTAATTTAGGAAATTACTATTGTTTCCTTTGTTTTGAGCTGCTTATAGCTGTTCAATATGTATAATTTGGGTTTCAAAAATTCACATGCTTATGATTTGCTATGGTAAATGGTAATTATGCTCAGGTGTAAGGCCCAACGCGACATGGGAAGTTGATGGAACTGGAATGACAAGTGGAGTTCCATATTCTATGTACCTTTCTTCAGGTATCGCCCTTTCTTTATTTTGTTAATTTTTTTCTTTGATTGTTAGTACTCCTTATCATTTTTTTAAAACTTTAGATGATAAATTAGTTTAAGCAATTGTTGATGTACTGGTTGTTAAATTAGTTTATGCGCTTCTTCTAACACCAATTGGTTTTAGAAGAGTTGGTAGTGCTTGAGGTCCTACATTGGTTTTCTTTTGCTGATGACATCTTTCTCAATTATGTTATTTTATGTTTGAATCCAAAGTTGAAGAAGGTCCTTTCAAAAGTGATAACGAGATATTAATTAGCTATGGAAACAAAGGGAATGAGGTACTCTATTCTTTAAACTTTTGGTAGCCTACATTTTCTTTAGTACTTCCTCTGTCCTAGGATTATTGTCAAAGTTACTATTCAGGCCTACCGATAACTTTTAGTTTGCATGTTTTAAGTAGATCATTTGATAAAATAAAATATTCTTGTCACTTTTTATTTTGTAGAATTTTTGATGTAGTTTTTAAATATTTGTAATTTTTACTTTTTATTTCCATACCAAATTGTAAACAAAATAGTTTTAAAAGAGATGTGATTGTGCATGTTGTTCAAAGTGAGGCGATAATTCTGGGACGGAGAGAGTATTAATTTTCCAGAACCTCATCCTATTTCCAGGCTTCTGGTAATGAAGCAGAAGGTGGTTGATTTGGATACATGTATGGGTTTAGTGGCAGAGCTAGAAATTGTGATAGAGGGGTTGATATTCTACTCACAATTTTTCAGAAATATATATGCAAACAAATCATATCACGTCAAGTGATGGGGTTCATCTTGCTTTTGTTGGATAAACTGGATATGGGTGAACTAGATGAGCTTTTCTTCATTTCCGGAATACAACCATGACCTGAAGCTGAGTTGGGACATGGTTTCAAAGACCTACTTGGTGCGACTGATACACCAATTGACTAGAAGATCATCAATGTTCCAACCAAGAAAGGTGAAGTGCAACAACCAACAATGTAGGCAAGTCCAAGTCCAATAGTTGGGATAAGTTCAAGAAAAATGGTCATGGTAATTTTTTTTAAAACCACATCCTATGTCGCAAAACAAAGAATAATACTTCTCAAAAAGGCTGTTGAAACTTGGAGGTGTGTGGGGATCGTCTCCAACAAAACTATTCAAAAGTGTCAAAGCGTGCTACCATAACCATTAATGGAATAGCTCTGGGTGGCCCAAACAATTCACTACCTATGAGGCTATGAAGCACAAACACTTCAAAAGTGGCAAGCAGGTAAAGTAACTTCTTAGGTGGACCACTTGAAAAGTGTCATTGTTTTTGAAATATTGGGACATGTGGGCACACTTGGGAGACAACCACGTGATTTTTAGAAATGAGATGGGTTTGAATGTTTAAAAACTCTAAAAGTAACGGACTAATTTGTTAAAAAAACCAAGGGTAAGTTCTTATTACATCTTAGTCTTTGTCTATTCTTGATTCCCTTCTATCAGATTCTCTTTTTTCATTTTTCCTCTAAAATTTCCCCAGTCCATGTGTGGAAGCATTGTGGAAGAACAAACACTAGCCTTTTCATAGCCACCTCTAAATTTACTCAGTTCATCTAGTATGTCATCTATTTGTTGGTATATACTCCATATTATTTTGACTTAGAGTGGCAGGTGTAACAGCAAAGCTGCAAGTGATGCAGAATAACTATAGATAGTGCAGATTTCTGACTTCAGATTTCTTTTCCCTTCAGGATTTGAAAAGAATAAAATGGAAGGTGGTCTTGAAGAAAAATTGTTACACAAAAACTTTTCAACACACTTTCACAAAATTTTAGAATTTCCATCCACTTGCGCCTTCAATCCAAACAAATCTTAAATGCTTCCACTTTCCACAATTCAAACACTTCTTGCTTTTTGATCAACTCACATTCATGTTTTTGGCCATACCGCCTTTTGTGAAATGTCGGCTGAGTAACACAAATGAATCACAAAACAGGGACTAAACTTCTCTCATTAACTCATTTTTATGTGACTTAACCCAATCCTCTCTATCATACCTGATCAAGATCACCATCATCATCCAGTCCACATGTACCAGCTAAAGGTTCAGCCATTTAAGTCATTTAGCTTACCATGTGCTGAAGAGGTCTCATTTGATACACCTGCTCATCTAAATCAAAATATGATTTTAAGAAAGTTAGTGAGTATAATTAGGAACTAGACATTCACATTGCTCAAAGAAAGTAAGGAAGGGTGTTTGTTCATGTATTTTGCATCATATGAGCAATTACAAGACATGCACACATTTCTCTCAGTAATACAGGACGTTCCTGACTGTTGAAGACGGAATTCAGATCCCATAAAGGCCAAAACAGTTCATGAACAATTAAAATTCCATGAATTGAAAGTGTCTACGTTAAAAGAATATCATGCCCTTGAGAAGAATAACATATGGTTCCTGACTACACCTTGAAAGAAAACAGCTAGGTACAAATGGACTTTTTATTTCCGAGGGATTTATTATGCCTTAAGGTAGACCCTTGTTGTATTTACTACCCAAAACTTCATAGAAAGTGAGAAGCAAAATAAATTCAATTTGCCATTTTGATTTAGTCCATTATTTACCCAAAGCTATGGCTCTTATACCTCCATGGGCAATGGACGTATGATTAGCTTGTTTTTTATTTAACAAATCCTATATTGAAGGATTTAATACAATTTGCATTCTTTAAACTTATCTGAATTACAGTGGATAAGGGACAATATAAGTTTTGCAGTAAGTGTTAGTCAATTTCTGAGTAATGCATCACAAGAGCAGCTGGAGGCAGTGCACCTAATCATTAGACATCTTTACTTCTTAAGTAAGATCCTGGAAAAGGCTTAATACTCAACAAAAAAACTTTGGGCTTTCCTTAAAAGTCTATGCAGATTCAGAATTCAGATTAGGCTGGGTCTCTGATTCATTGAAGATCAACCTCAGGGTCTTTCTCGTAAAAAGCAGCAGGTGCCGAAGCAGAACTCTGAGTTTTAGCTCAAGATTTTTGTGAATAAATCTGGTTAAAGCAGTGTCCAACTGAACTAAAGATCTGCATTTCAGTTCCTATTATGATGTAATGTGATAATCGGTTGGCAGAAACTATTGCCAATCCATCATATGATAGGACGAAACTTGTCAAGATTGAAAGTCATTGCATTGGCAGGAAGATAAAAAGAAACATTGTATCACTTAAGCGTGTCTTTTCTCAGTTTGAGGGGGATTGTAGGCTTGTAGCACTTCAAACTAGCTAAAGATAGAGGATACTCCCTCCGTCTCAATTTACTTTGCCAAATGACTTTTCAGATTGTTCAATGTACTGCTTTAACTGTTTATAACTACTCCATATATTTGTACATGAATAAATACTCTCTCCGTCCCGGTGTCTTCGTCCACTTTGCTTGTTGCACGTAGACAAGGGAGAAAGAATTAAATTGGAGAAATGATCATTATACCCTTGCATTTTTGCACATATAGAAAAAAAACAGGTTTGGTTGAGGAGGAATAAATGTAATATAGTTGGGGCAAAATGGTAAACTAATCCTGTACTCATATCCCATATAAAGAAAATGGAGAAATACATTGGGACAACCCAAAAAAGAGAAGTGGGCAAACACAACGGGACAGAGGGAGTATAATAAAAAATGGTACTTCAAAACACAAATGAATCTAGTGGTATTAAATTAACATTATATGTAAATGTATTTTACTCACAAAATCCAATCCAAGTTTGCAAAGTTTGACCAAGAAAAGTCGAATGTGCAAAATAAAATGAGACAGGGAGAGTAATTATTTTTCTATGATTGTGGAATTCTAATGGAAACAAGCTCTCTGCTTTAATAGGGGTAAGGCTGCATACATCTTAACTTCTAAACCCCAACAGAGTTGGATTATATTGGGTTTTGTTTTTGATTGTGGGGTTGTCCTTCTAACAAACGTCTGTGATTATCTTCCATGTACAACAGTGATTATTTTTCTGTCGATAGAGTTAATGATGTATACATATTATTTCGTTTTCAAGTTTCAGATCAGATTTACATTTTGAATAAATCTTGATTAGCAAACAATTAAGCCATGGATTTTGTTGCAGGAGCTCCTGTACCTGTATGGATTTGTAACGGAAGATAATCCCGATGACTATCTCATGGTAACCCTCTCAAGTCTGCTTTATTTCAGAAAAGTTTCTTTATAGTTCTCAGTAATAGATGGATCTTTGCCCAAACTCTCAATGAAAAGGAAACTGATTGATCTGAATAGCAGTTGTCAGCCACTCAGACCTTTGTCTTAGTCAGCTTGCTCTGCTGAGGCATATATGTAAAGTATTGAAACAATGTGTATTAGTTTGACATTCATATTTTACAATGTAGGTTAATTACCCTGTGGAGGCCATTCAGGACATACCTTACTCTGAGTCCAAATCACACCTCCTACAAGCACAGGCAATCAATGTTTTCTTTCTGTTTCTGGCTATGATTCTTTTTTTTTAACAAAATGAAAACATCTAATACGACATTCAAACTTTGTACACCCCATTCATAAAAAAAAGATCCGTTTAGAAACATCCCATCTACTATTTTTGTCCTAGAAAAGAGTCCTATATGAACAAGAGAAAGTAATTTTGATAATATTTTTTATCTAAAAAGTGTCTTAGTCAATTCGAGAGTGTTACATTTTGTTAAATTACAAAATAAAGGTTAAAGTGTAGTATTTGAGGATTTTCAATAGTTGTACCTTCATAGAATTTAAAATTTGTATCTTTCTGAAATTGGACTTTTTTTTGTGGGCGGAGGGAATAGTTTTTTTTTGTGCGAGTTTTCCAGCACGATGAAGACATTTACTACCCCTTCCTCTCTATCGTCTTAATATTTACCTGCATCATAATGTCGTAAAGAACTCTCTATGTGTCATCAGAAAGCGGAGTTGAGGTGTTTGTTACCAAGAAATTTGTTGGAAAATGGTTTTTTTCCTCCATGCATGCCTCAAACAGAAAACCATGATAAACAGCCAAGTAATCAAATGAAAAACTATAGTTGGAGCGGCGAGCGCAAGATTCCTTCTTACTTGAATAGGCTTGTTTTCCCTGAAGAATTTATGACTGCCTTGAGAACTATAGCAATGAAAGAAGACGAGCTGTATAAGGTCACATCACTACTTAGTGAGGTTTGTTTTCTCTCTTTATTGCTCTTAGTTCACTATTTAGTGAGGTATGATCTTGTGACGAATGATTTGGATGGACTCAGAGGGGTGTTTGCTTTTCAATTACTCACTCCATCCTATATCTTTTTGCTTTTTACATGGCACACTTTTTTAATGTAAGATGAAAAATATTTGACTTTTCATTTTTACCTTTGATGGTGTAGTAAGTTGAAGAAAGATGTTAAAAATGTGAATTGTACAAAAGTAAGGATGGAGTAGCCTTTTAGTTGTAAAAAAAAGCTGAATAGTCTTTCCATTTGAGGAAATTGGAAGAAACATATAGGATGGTTAAAAAAGGAAAACGACAAGAAAGATATAGGGTGGAGGGAGTAATCAATAAGTCCGCATAAGATGAATTAGTTTCATTTTTGCAGGGTAATAGTTTTACTTTTAAATGGACTTTTGTTTCATCATAAGCACAATGTTATACTCCCTCCGTCCCAAAAGAAGACTCCTTATTTCCTTTTTGGGACGTCCCTCTTTCCTTTTAAGGAAAACTTTGAGTGGCTCACACTCTTTCTCTCTCCTCTACATCACTTTCAACCACACATTTTCATTATTCTTAAACTTTGTGCCAAGTCAAAGTGGGAGTCTTTTTTTGGGACGGAGGGAGTATAGTTGAGTGGTGTTTAAATTAATCCAGTGCTTGTTTCTTACAAAGCTTTCTTCACCTGGAAGTGATAGCCAACCATCTGACGCGGAAGTTCGAGCAGCAATTTGGGAAGCGTGTGGTGATTCTGGAGCCTTGCAAATGCTTGTTGATCTGCTTCATGTGAAGTAATTCCCCCATGCTTTGAAACTACATTCATGGCCAAAGTTAAAATTGCAGGCTACTCCGTATCATATATTTTAGTGGCTGACTGTAAAGTATGTACGTTTTACCATTTCGACCTCTGTGGCTAATATATGCCTTTCATCTTTATGATTATACCTGTGCTAGGATGATGGATCTTGAAGAGGGTTCTGGGAGCGAGGAGAATGACACCGAATTACTACACAGAGGCTGCTCCTCCTTAGATGATGACTCAGTTGAGAACGAAGGGTATGTTGTGTGTAAAGTACTTTTTTTTCTTGCCATTTACTCCTATGAGCGCCAATTTCACACAAAAACTACTCCCTATGCAGACATGCTTTATGTCTACATTCGTTCATTTTTTAATGTACCAATAAAGTGTCAATAGACAGTTAATATGAAATGGAGGGAGTAGATATGAACTGCCAAATTCCTTGCACCATTCATCTTGCAGAAAAATGAGCAGAAACAGTTGGTGTAGTATAGTGTACCGCCGAGGGCAGAAACAGCTCACGCGCCTTTTCCTCAGGGAGGCCGAGCACGCCTTGCAATTGGCATTGGTCGAAGGAAACTAGAATTCGTTGCGCTCTATTTTTACGTTATCTTTAGCTCGCATTTTGTTGGCCATTTCAGTCTTTTCCTTCTGTTTCTATAGACACATGCAAATGAAATTTTGGAGGGATGGGATTCAAGAGTACTTGTCTTGCAATTTGTTTGTAATACATTCAGTACTTCTGCCCAACTTTTGGTGACCAGCTCTAGGATTAAGAAAATAAAAATTGTGTAATTGATGCAAAGGAAAAATGAAGTATATATTACCCATTGTCACTTTCTTTAAAAGAAATCTGTTACCATTTGATTGTTGACTTATTATGGTTTCAATATTTGCTGACCTCCAGTTTTGAATGTAATCTATAAAATAGTATGGTTGAATTTTTTTGTGTGGGATGTTTTAGATACAAAGTTGTTAACTTGTTACTGATGGAGTAATTGTTAATTCGAAGTATCTCCTTACATTTATACATGAGTGCCGTACACCGCAACCATAGTACGGAGTAATAATTATTATACGAAGTAAGAATTAAGCTAGGGGTACACCAACATGGGATACCCTAAGTGTACACCAAGTCAACACAGATACACACAGACACAAAATGTCTGTGCAACACAGACATTCTGTGTCTGTGTTGGTTTGGTGTATACTTGGGGTACCCCATGTTCAGAGACGGACCTATGTTGAGTCCCACGGGGTTCCGGGACCCCACGGACCTCCACGTAGGATCTTATATATATTAGGTAACTTGATATAATTAGTATATAAACAAACAAAGCCTTGGTGAAACCAAATCACCTTATGGTGCAACGGAAGCTCCCGCGGCTGGACATTAAGCCAGGAGATCAATTGTTCGATTCTTGACTCCTCCATGTTTATAATTTTTATGCTCCTCAATTTTATCCTCAAGTAGTCTTAAAAACATTTTTAACCCAAAATATGTTATTGTATCTTCTGAGGTAGTATGTTTGTATTAAATATTAATACGTAGTTCGTCATTAGACTTTTAGTTTAAATAAATATTAAATACCTATTAAATTTCTTTTAATTAGTATTTTCCTAAAAAAATACTCTGTATCTAGCAAACCTACTTTTCGATCATTTTATTTGTATTTTTTTTACAATATTTTTCCATTTTTAAAGTTCGTAAAGAAGGATTATATTATGGATATGTCCTCAATTTTATCCTGAAGTGCTCTAATTCTCTAAAAAAAACATTTTTAATGCTAAATATTTTATTGTATTTTTTGAGATAGTAATTTTTGTATAATACGTATTTCTTCAATAGACTTTTAGTTTACAGAAATATTAAATATTTATTAAAATTCTTTGAATTAGACTTTTCCTAAAAAATACTTAAACAAATATACTTTTCATTTTATTTGTATTCTTTTTACAATTTACTTTCATTTTTCAAGGTGTGATAAAGAAGGATTATGGATGTGTCTAAATCTTTTGTTTTAATTTGAGTCTTTTTACAAAAAATCATTGTATCCTATTAGTGAATTTTATCTTTAAAAAATCTTAGGTGTAGAAGTTATGACTTTAAAAAATCCATTTGAGAATCATATTTTGAATATTTATTTAAATAATATATTTTTTAGTTTATTTTTTATTGCGTGTGAATAATAACATAGTATAAATGTATCTTTACAATTCAACAAACAGGACCCCATGCTTTCCAATTCCTGGATCCGCCTCTGCCCATGTTGGTGTACCCCTAGCATTGCCCTTATTATAATTATCAAATCAGAGTGTCACCAAGAGAACATACGTGTATTTTAAAATTAATAAACAAAACCTCGTGGATTTTAAAATTTTTTTATCAAATTGGTAAGAAAATTAACACATAAAAAAATTATATCTAAAAATTATACCGAAAACTTTACAAAATAAGATGTGACAATAATATCTTATTTTATCAAATGTTCAATGAAAATACATAAATAAATAAGAGTTATCGAGAGACCGTAATAGTAAACAAGAAAGACTTTTTGAGACGGAGGGAGTAATTTTTATTTTTAAATTTTACACCTACAATCAAATAAATTGAATTAAAAATAAAATGGATCAAATATCTTAACGTTAATAAAAATATTATTCTCAAAGAGTGCCTAACAAATGATTAAAAGTAACAATATTCCAAAGTTTGTAAAAATCTTAGTTGCCATTTATAATATTAGTGTTTAAAATCGGAAATATTCACAACTAATATGGACTTTTAATAGAATTTCATAAAGTAGTGAATTAAATGCATGTGAAGTATTGACGGACTGTATTGTTAACTGTAGGTTATTGTTTCTAAAAAAAAAACTGTAGGTTATCAATTGTGTACTTTATTCGAGACACTCCGAAAGTGCTTTTAAATAAAATTTTAAAAGTACGTAGTAGTATATACTCCCTCCGTCCCTAAATAGATTACAATCGTTTTTTCTCTCTCCTCTCGATAACTTTTGTTTGTTTACGCGATTTCATCAAGTATTTGATAAAATAAAATATTTTTGTCACCTCTTGTTTTGTAAAACTTTTGATGTAGTTTTTTAATATATAATTTTTATAGTTTATTGATATACCAGTTTGTAAATAAAATGATTTCAAAAAGTAGGAAATTTTACTCCGTAACCCGCAATTTGTAATCAAATTGGGGACGGAGGGAGTATTATTAACCCGAAAATATAACACATTTTTTGAGACCTGAAAATATTACCATACACTTAGGCCTTGTTTGAGAATATCGTATCGATTAGCGCTAGCATTTTGGAATAAATTTTAATGATGCAGATTAATTCTGGAAATGCTAACGGTAAAGGCTACCATCAGATAATCTTTTCAAAATGCTAACGCAAATCTCTAACGGTGATGCTAAACGAGACCTTAAACTATGACGTTAGTTCATTTCTTCAAAATGTTACGGAGTAACTCTTTCCAAAAGCATCCATTATATACTTAGGGCATGTTTCGTGAGAAAAAAAATATAAATTTTGATGTCTAAGATACCAAGTTTCAAAAATATATGTTTAGTGAACTTAAAATATACCAAGTTTCAATTTTGTTTATCTTTATGCATTTCTACTTCTATTTTAATACTCCGTATCAAACTGAACATGCAATTTTTAAATACGAAGTAATTAAAATCTACATTTGATTGCTTTATTCTACGACTATTAGAATCGAGCATGCAAATTTATCAAACTTTTACTACCAAAAATTAAATTAAAAAATTTAAAATTCCATTAACAACAACTAAAACATCTTAATTCGACATTTAATATAATACGTCAATATAAAAATATTATCCGACATCCACATTTGATTTTTAATTATTCTTCACTCAACTATATATAACTATTACGAGTATTTACTTTCATTTCGGTTTTCTCAAAACACTTCGCTCTTGGATTTAAAAGCAAAGTTTGACTGTTGTGCGTTATGATATTTGACTGAAGTTATTTTCAAATTATTTTATGTAAAAAATTATATAAAATTAAAAGATAAAAAATATATATTTAAAAATTATATGAAAAGATCTAACAAATTAGATGTGATATTACTATATTATTTTATCAAATAGGACATGAAGATAGATCAAAAAATGAATTAAATTTGACCCTATGAATATCAAACTAAAACTTTATTATTCGATTAAGTATTCACTAACTATTGTTAGAGTGGAATAATAAGGATATAAGCTAGAGATTCCAGTCAGGTGGATCAACGGTACTCTAGTTTATCTTGTTTCCCCATTTCCCGCTAATCTCTGTCTTCGAACCCTTCTTCTCTCTCTGTGCGCTAAAATGGCCAAAAAGACCCGTTCTTGAATTCTGATTGACCCAAAAAAATCCATTCTTGAATTCTGATTGACGAAGAAAAACCAATTCTTGAATCTCAGAGTTTAGAGAAGAAGTTCGGGCAACAATGGAGAATTCCCGTCGTCCGAATTACCTGGTGAACTGGGGTTCAAGAATTGTCTACAAGTTCATGTCCGACGACCCAATCGGCAGAGACTCCGACGGCTCTCCGGTGTACAGAGTCGCCTACTCCGTCGTCCACGAGACTTCCGGCGAAAGGATCTTCGTCACCCATGAATTCCTCGCCATGAAGGCCGTCAATTCCGGTTCCCCTGTACCCGAAACCCTTTCAAGAAACCTGAACCTGCCCGGAGACCACAAGAATCTGACCCGAATTGAGGCCCTCTTCGTCGACGGCGCCACCGGCGACCTCTGCATCGTCATTCCGTTCTTCGAGCCCGGCTCTCTCCGATCAGCCATGGCCGCCAAATTCCCCCACGGGCTACCGGAGGACTGCATTTCCGTTTCCCTGAGATGCGCTCTGAAGGCCGTCAGATTTCTCCACCACGCCGGGAACCTCCACAGAGACATAAACGCCGGGCACATCTACCTGAAGAGTGGCCCGCAAATCAAGCTGGGCTTCGGGGCCACCCTCTACGAGCACGGGGCTTCCGCTTCCCGGGCAGAGTGTTCGTCTTCTTCTTCCCTGCCCGCCACCGGGATTTCGACCTGGGCAGCTGCCCCAGAGGCATACAACGGCCACCGCTACTCCGAGAAATCGGACATTTGGCTCGTTGGAATCACAGCTCTGGAACTGGCCTACGGAAGGGTCACAGTCCCCAACCGCGAAGCCCTGGAAATGACAATCAGGACAATAACCGGGACGAAAAGGCTTCCGAAGAAGCTCGGACCGGAGGGGCAGCATCGGGCAGTAGCAGCGGGCAGGGAAGACATCAAGGGAAAGGCAAAGATGGAGAGGACAGATTTCGAAGAAGAAGAAGAAGAAGAAGAAGGGTCTTCGTTTTCCAGGGAGTTTGGGGACTTTGTGGCACAATGCCTGGCATGGAACCCGGAATCAAGGCCTTCCGTTGATGCCCTTCTGAACCATGGTTTCTTATGCAAAAAAGGGCTGAAGAGGTGGGAGTTGAAGTCACACTTCCAAGACGTTCTGATTCTAAAGATGAAAAAGTTCAAAGCATTAGAGCCTACTAACTGGTAACCAATTAAACCTGAAATGATCAAATATAATTCAGTAAGTTTGGAGTTCAATTCTAAATCCTAAACTGTATGTGTACATTTAATCTCTATGGTTCTTTAAGGACGGACCAAAAATCTCACATTTCCATCCCGGGCTCCACTGAACCAGAATCACCTGTTCCCATAAGGTATATGGTTTAGGCACTTCAAAAGGATTTTTTTGAACATTATTCTTCTTTTTCTGCAACATTAACTCACACTTCATCCAATTGTTCAATTCCTAGTGTTTACAAGCCACCTGATTCGAATCTCGGTTCCCTCAGACCCCGACTCGACGTACCCGAAAGGTATGGAATTTGTCAAACTGCTTCTTGTAAGAATCACATTATAATCCAATTCTTTTTTGTGCACATTTGTACTCTGCATTTCTCTGTACAGCCCTTCTCCAGCTTCTGCTGTTCCATTCAAGCTCCGCTTCAAGGGACCCAAGAGGTAATTAATCTGCACCATTCTGAGAAACATTGTTCCCAAAAAGAACCCTTTTGTAACCAGTGAGTCTAGTTCTGATTTTTGTTGCAGAAAGTTGTCGTACGAGGAAGACGAAGAAGGCAAGCCAGATGAAGAAAGAAGACCCAGAAAGCTTCAAGGCACGACAGACGAAAGAGCGGTGGTGGAAATACCAGTCCAAGCCCAAGAGAAGAGTGCCTCCTTCAGCTCGTGGTTGAATGGAGATAACTTAGCCCAAGGCGATCAAGCTGAGGTTTCAAGCTCCTTTTCATTCCAATTATCAGCTCATCATCCACAGGCAGAGTTCCTGGAGGACCCCGGGACCCACGACGTGTACCGGATCACTGACCGGATCGGAGTTTCGCTGCCCGATAACTTCCCCGTGTTCCGGGCAGCCTACTTGGAGCCCGTGCTCAAAGACGACAACCCGCACGCCAGATCGTTTGTCCACAGCAAATTCGTCTCCATCAAGATTGTGAATTCCCTCCGGGAGAGAGCGGGTTACTGGAAGCTGAAGCACGTGGATGTGCAGCGAAGCGACGACCTGCTCTACAAGCACAGCAGCTTCGTGAACGTGGATGCCGATTTCCTGGACATGGGTTCCTGGGATTACTGTGTTGTGATGGGATTTGCAGAGTATGGCTCCCTGAGGACGATCATGGCAGAGCAGTTCCCGGGCGGGCTGCCCGAGGCGTGCATATTGTTGGTGCTGAGAAGGGTTCTGGAAGGGGTCAGTTTCCTCCACAGTGGCTGTGACGTCCACGGGGAGATCAATGCGGGCCACGTTTACGTGTTCGAGGGGCCGGGGATCAGGCTGGGGTACGCGGCCACGGCGTACGAGCACGGGTGCCCGGGCTCCGGGGCGCTGCCCGAGGTCGGGATCTCGGACTGGGCAGCTGCCCCGGAGGTTCGCAACGGGGAGGAAGACTACTGCGTGACGCAGAAGGGGGACGTGTGGCTGGTCGGGATACTCGCGTTAGAGCTGGCTTACGGCAGGCTCCCGAGCGGGGAAGCGCTCCGGGGGATGATCGGATGGATTAGCGTGATGAGGAGGCTTCCCGGGAGGATCCCGGCAGCGGAGGAAGGTGGAGGAGGGGAGGAGGAGGAGGAGGGGCGGCGGTTCAGCCCGGAGTTTGAGGAATTCGTGGCGGCTTGTCTGGTTTGGGACGCGGCGGAGAGGCCGACGGCGTCTGTTCTTTTGACTCATGAGTTCTTCACGGAGTGTGGGATGGAGAATGGTGAGTTGGAGGCTCTGTTTGATCGAGTTGTGATTGACAGATTTAGAAAGTGATTAACCCAACCCCCTCCCCCTAATCATACCCTTCCAAAAAAAATTGTCAAGCTCGTAGCTTATTATGGAGTGATATAAAGATTGTTGTAAATATGAGACTTAAATGCATTTCATTTGCATCTACTACACGTTTATATTCATGGAATGCCATGAATTATAGAGTACACCAATTAAAATGTCATCATTGGTTCTAAAAGTATTAGTGAATATACATACTATTAGAAATACTTCATCCGCCCGAAAATATTCTTCTCATTTTTTTTTGGTTCGTCCGAAAATATTCTTCCCATTTCCTTTTTTAGTATGTTTTTTAAGGCTAAATATCAATAATACCCTTCTATTTTATCACAAATCTACTTTTTAAATACTTTTTTAATAATAAAAGGAGATTCAAAAGTTTATAGTATGTACATTTTTGAAAATTTTACATTTTTTTTACTATTTCTTAATAAGTGTGCCAAGTCAACACGGGAAGAACATTTCCGGACGGAGTGAGTAATTAGATGTATTACTCAGCGTATTATTTAGATATACAATATATTAACAAACATGTTATGTTACACAAAATTTAGATGTGAGTGATCAAGTCGATCTTTGTTTTTTCATGAGCAAAAAATTTGGTCCGATACCATGTAAGAAATAAGGGATTTTCTCCCATACCTCTCTATTTGAGAGGGCATGGATGCCCTTCCATTATTCCCTCCGTCCTAAAACTTTCTTCCCAGAGCACTATTCCAACTTCACAGAAATTTATATTTATTTGTGTTTTTTCATTGCCTATATGATAAAATAAAATATTCTTGTCACCACTTGTTTTGTTGAATTTTTTATGTAATTTTTAAATATGTATGTTTTATTTTTTATTTCTATACCAATATTTAAATAAAATAGATTGAAAAAACTTGAGATTTTTCTTCGTTTTGCGCAACGGGAAGAAAGATATAGGACGGAGGGAGCTTGACATGTGGATTATTTTATGCCTAAATTTATGAGTATTAATAATATAAATTATACTACCTCCGTCCCAGAGTATTTGTCCATTTTCATTTTTACACATCATCTAATGCAATTCTTTAATCCATTTTATCTTGTAATTTGTATATTAAAAAATTATAAAAATTATATATTAATAATCTATATGTTAAGACAAATCAAACAAGATCACACATGACTATATTTAGGCTTACACATTGAGAGAATTTGATGAGTCAAAATGCTTAGATGAACAGTTCCAAAAGTCAAAAGTGGACGAATATAGCGGGACGGAGGGAGTATTTTACAAAATCCTTCATCCTGATCGCATTTAATTTTTTTTCCTTAAGCTTCGTTATGTTGTTTTTTGTTAAAAGTGTAAAAATTTTGAATTTTTACTCCCTAACCTTTTTTTTTGAATTTTGGCTTTATTTTTTATTTAAACACGCAAATCTAAATTTAAACTACTCCGATATTTTTAGATTTGAATTTTAATTAAAGTCTTGAATCTAGAGTCAATAGTGAAATTGAATTAAATACAATTTTATTATCAAATACTCCATATATAAATATTTAAATTGAATTAAAGCAAGAATTATAACATACTTCCTCCGTCCCTAAAGAATTATCATAGATTTATTCTTATGGTCAAATTGTAGCACTCTTTGATCCTAAATTATGGAAAAAGTTTATTTAGTTATAATGTAAATTTAGGAGAAAAGACCTAAGTATTAGCAAAATATTGAAAATACTAAAATAGGAATTCCATTTTTTATTTCCGAAATAGGAGTTAAATTGCATTTACATTACGAAATATGACCATGTACATTACTAAAAATGTCTTGAGGTGACCTTCACTTGTGTGACCGCATTTTCCTTCATATGGCCACCTTTGATATGTTGAGGTGAGGACATTGTGAAGTCGGCAAATGACAATGTGACAGCTGCTGACGATGATAGTACTGTCGACTCCTATTAAAATCTTAATAGACTAACACTCCTAATTTGATACTCCTTACTTCTATACTCCTAATTCAATATTTACCACTGTCACTACTGGAAAGACCAACACCATCTTTTCTAGCAAGAGTGACGTTTGATAAAAATGCTCAAGGTACACTAAAAGATGTATCTCAAGTGTACCCTAATAAAGCTTCTCCGCCACACAAATCATGTTTAAAAAATTTAATGAGTGAATAAAAAAAATACTCCTTCCATCCCAAATTAATTAATACTCATAGTTTGATTTTACACGAAGTTCAGTAAAAGTATATCATGTGATTGAAAGTGATATGGTGAAGAGAAGAAAAATGTACCCACAAAAAACCTCTACTGCTAAAAAAAGAAAATGAAAGATTAATTTAAGACGAAAGGAATATGATAAAAATTTATAGTGTACAATTGGAATATACCACTAAATATACCCTTAGAATTACTCGTGTTTGGTCAAATTCTGATGGAGAGAATTAGGAAGTGATAAATCTAACTAATGTTAGCACAGTTTTTTTTACTCCGTAACGGCGTAACTTATTGTTTTTTTGAAAAGAGAACAAATTGTTAATAATACTTGGTACTCATTAACACTATATTTGGTTCAAGGAAATCAAAATAGAAAAGAAAAGAAAATGAAGTGGAAAACAAGTTTTCTTGTTTGGTTAGAAAGAAAAAGTGGAAGGAAAAGAGAATGAGAAAGCAAAATGTACCAAGTGGATGGAAAACCAAATTCCTCCCATTTTGGTGAGGAAAATGGGAGAAAACATTTTCTTTTCTTTTCTTTCAAAATTCCTTGAACCAAACATAGTGTAAAGAAATTTAGATATGTTAATTAGGGAGTAAGGTTTACAAAGACTCAATTAATTGGGCACAAATATTAATAGAAATATTTGAACTAGATAACACTAAAATTTAAGTCATTTCTCTAAATATCACTTAAATTATTTTATTCCCTAAATAGAACTTAATAATGTCCATAATATCCTGTGATAGCAAATATTTACTTGAATAATGAATAATGCATAATGACTAAAAGTGCTACATTGAGAAGAAAACCACATATGGTGCTATTTAGAGAAAGTCATTATGTTTATTGCTATTTAAGTAAATCCCTCATATTAATAAACATAATGAATATTACTTTCTAATGGTTTCCCTTAGGTAATAAGTGAATGAGATAAGTGAGTGGTAATACTATAGTGGATACTTTGGAATAAAATAAGTGAGGAGCATAAAAGAGAAAAGAAGGCAAAAATCATTTTCTTTAATAGATAGAGGTGTCTTAAATACTCACTAGGAAATTAAAAAAGTTCATTTCGTGGGTTGGCTTGGATTACTTAGTGTTGGTCGCTTAGGAGGACAGCGCGCTTTGGAACGCGAAGGAGCGAAGCAACTAGAGAGAAATTCGTTTTACTATGTGAAACTTATTTCGTTGAAGTATGTTCAACTCATCTAAAGAACAGAGAACAGAGATTTATTGAATATAGTTCAACTCATTCATTTCAAATGAGTCCAACATAATGAAACTCATTTAGTTCAACGAACAACGAATCGTTCCAAATGAGTTGAACGTAGTTAAACGATTCGAACAAATGTAAATAAGCTTCAAAGGTCAATATCTTTCCGTACCTTTTTTATTTAATATTTGTTTAATTTTGATTTTATACAGTCAACTAGAATGGATTTTTGATTTATAATTAAATAAAAAACATTGTATATGAATTAGGTAAAACATTATTTCAAAAATATTTTATAAGATAAATTTAATAATTTGTATCAATATCTAATTTAATGGCGAAAGGTCATAAATATTGACTACGAAAAATCAAAACTAAACAAATATTAAATCAAAGTTGAGATTTGATCAAAATGTGTGAGAATCCAAATAATTGGATTTGGATTTAGACCAAATGCCCCTAATTCTCAACAAAAATCAATTAAAAATCCATACAGTTCTCCTTATTGGACTCAACAAAATTAGAAATTCTATATGGATGCACTCCATTATGGACACCACATTTATTTACAAGGGAAACAAGTGTATTATTTTCATTTTTTTTGGGCAGTGACACTGACATTATGTATTCTACTCCATATCCAAGTCTGATACCTATTTGTGTCTCTTTGATCATATGTTTTTCAGCTCTACATACAAACAAACAATTGGCACACCAAACATTCACTACTTCCTAAGTCTCTCAATCACAACTTCCTCAAAGTAAGCCTCCAGCAGTGACTCCTTCATCCCATTCTCCCTGAAGAACTCATGCCCCAATAGCCGCCGAGCCGTCGGCCGTTCCCGGGGATCCCACGCCACGCACTCAGCCACCATCTTCTCGAACCCCCTCGAAAACGTCCTTTCCTCTTCCTCCTCTTCTTCTTCTCCGGTCTCCTCCATTTTCCCCTTCCCTTTTCCCCCTTCGTCGCGACTCTCCCTTTTCCCCCTTCCTGACCCCTTGGGAAGCGCTCCCGTCGCGTTTATCCCCCTGACCATGACCCCCAGGGCTTCGCGGTCCGGGACCCGGATCCCCCCCGTAAGCCAACTCCAGGGCCAAAACGCCCACCAGCCAGACGTCGCTCGCCTCGGTGGTCCCGGCGCGGCGGCCGTACGCCTCTGGGGCAGCTGCCCAGCTCGAGATGCCGGCTTCGGGCAGCGAGGACGAAGTCGAGCACTCGAGGTCCCGGGCCCGGTGGTCGTACACCGTGGCCGCGTACCCCAACTTGACGTTCGGGCCGCTTTGCACGTAGACGTGGCCCGCGCTGATGTCCCCGTGGACGACTCCGTTCTCGTGGAGGAAGCACACGCCCTCCAGGACGTGTTTCAGGACCAGGGCGATGCACGTCTCCGGGAAGCCCTGCCGGAAATGGTCCGCCATGATCGTCCTCAGCGAGCCCCACTCTGCGAACGCCATGACCACGCAGAAGTCCCGCGCGCCCGTGTCGAGGAAACTGGCCTCCACTTGCATCAGGTTCGGGTGCTCCTTCGGCAGGGTTTCGTTCCTTCTTAGAGCCCGTCTCAGCTTCTTGTACCCGGACAGGTTCCTGGAAATGTTCACAATCTTGGCGGAGAGGAAGTCGTTGTAGACGAACTTCCTGCGGCACGGGTCGTCCTCGCATTCCGAGTACGCGACCCTGTACACAGGAAGGTCGTCGTGGCGTGACTTCCCGATCGGATCCGCGGACATGATCTGGTAGACCACGCCGAAAGCGGGGTCCACCACGTACTCGGGCTGAAGATCGTCTAAACTCATCCAGGAGCTCTCTTCGGGGCTTTCCTGCATTCGTTGATCCATCGCTTTATTTGGCACTGCAGAACGAACTTTTCTTGGTCTTTCTGCTGCATCTGGTTGGCCTTTATCCTCCTCCATAGGTAGTTTTCTTTAAGGAAACAGAGAGTAAGAGTTAGTGACAATTTCAATCTGAAATGGTTGGAAATGAATGGCCAATCGATCGAGTACCTTTTTGGCCCGGTGATACGAATCTTCATTGGTTTAGCAGACTTTGAAGGCAAGCAGCTGGGAAATTATGAACAAAATATGGGTATAAGCAAGCTAGCAGGCATTCACCAATTGGATTTAAAGTACATTTTTTTGTTTGAAGTGAAAGTCATAGATTTCATACTATTGGGAAAGGTTGAGATCGTAGTCGACGAAACCGCGATAAAGATCAGGTGGTGGTTTTGCAGCTCTTGCTGTGGATCCCGGGATCGAAATGTGAGATTTTGGCTTCCTTCATTCAACAGAAGACAGAATCAGAATGCTATAAATGGCTTTTTTTTTACTACAAGTGTACACTAAATTTGGCTCATTTTAAAGGTTTTTTTTTACCAGGAGGAGATGATCAGCATTGGTAAGTTGTTTACCTATTCGGAGTGCGCGGATGGAAATCTTTCCCTTTGATCTTTCGAATCAGGACGTGTTGGAAGTTTGCCTTCAGCTCGCACCTTGACAGCCCGTTTTTGCAGAAGAAATCATGGTTTAAGAGGGCATCAACTGAAGGCCTTTCTTCAGGGTTCCATGCCAGGCATTGTGCCACCATTTCCCCAAACTCCCTTGAAAACGAACACCCTTCTTCTTCTTCTTCTTCTTCTTCAGAATCTGTTGTTTCCATCTTTGCCTTTCCCTTGATGTCTTCCCTGCCCGCTGCTACTGTCCGTTGCTGCCCCTCGGGCCCGAGCTTCTTCGGAAGCCTTTTCGTCTGGGTTATTGTCCTGATTGTCATTTCCAGGGCTTCGCGGTTTGGGACGCTGACCCTTCCGTAGGCCAGTTCCAGAGCTGTGATTCCAACGAGCCAAATGTCCGATTTCTCGGAGTAGCAGTGGCCGTTGTATACCTCCGGAGCAGCTGCCCAGGTCGAAATCTGGGTTCCGGGCAGGGAAGAGGAGGACGAACACTCTGCCCGGGAATCCGAAGCCCCGTGCTCGTAGAGCGTGGCCGCGAAGCCCAGCGTGATTTGCGGCCCGCTCTTCAGGTAAATGTGCCCGGCGTGGATGTCTCCGTGGAGGGCCCCGGCGCTGTGGAGAAACCGGAGGGCTTTCAGAGCGCATCTCAGGGAAACGGAAATACAGTCCTCCGGGAGCCCGTGGGGGAATTTGGCGGCCATGGCTGACCGGAGAGAGCCGGGCTCGAAGAACGGAGTGACGATGCAGAGGTCGCCGGTGGCGCCGTCGACGAAGTGGGCCTCAACTCGGGTCAGATTCTTGTGGTCTCCGGGCAGATTCAGGTTTCTTGAAAGGGTTTCGGGTACAGAGGAACGGGAACTGACCGTCTTCAGGGTGACAAAGCTCCGCTCGCCGGAAGTCTCGTGGAAGACGGAGAAGGCGACTCTGTACACCGGGGAGCCGTCGGAGTCTGTGCCGAATGGGTCGTCGGACATTATCTTGTACAGGATTCTTGAATCCCAGTTCACGAGGTAATTAGTCTGACGACGGGAGTTCTCCATTGAAATCGATTGATTGATAATCAGAATTTGAATTGAAAGTGATGAGATGGGTGATAGAGATTTTTGATTTCTTGATTTGTTGTTGCAGGGTGTAAGCAGAGCAAGAACGACGGAGACAGAGAGAGAGATTGGGAGAGGGGTTCGAACTTGGAACAGAAATTGGTTGGAGGGAAATGATATGGAAAATGCTAGAGTCACTCCGTACTTTGCTGAGGTGGAATCTCTTTCATTGAATTTTCACTTCATTAAAGCTTGTAATTTCCTTAAAAAAAGCTTGTAATTACATAAATCTTGTAAAATAATTTTTAATTTTTTTAATTTTATCAATATACTCCTTCCGTCTCGAAATGATTTACACTAGTTTTCAAACACCAACAATCACTTTTGTATCTCATACAAGGAATTTATTGTATTATTGCCCATTGTGATCTTAAATTTCCTACACTAATACCCTCTAGACTAAAATATGCTTCAAATATTAAATGAATAGTGCCGCTGTCCCCTATGAATTTAGAAATGGGCACCAACATCACCTCTCCTTTTTTCTTTATTATTTTTCTTAGAGAAGAGCAAATACAAACTTAGCTTCCGACGGTGAAACCCAAAACTCGGACTCCACTATATTTGCATGGGTAGGGGACTGGATGATATCAAAGGCCAGGGAGATGTCCGCTTGCGTATAATTTACATCTGTTACTTGGGCTGTTTTGGACGAAGGCACAAGGCTACATGCGATGATGACATTGCTCAATATTGGATCCTTTGCAACTTCTCCCTTCCCCGGTGCATCTACGTGCGTATCAACAACGACAAGATCCGATGGAAAGGCAATTAAGAATACCTTCAACAGAAACACTGTTAAGGAATGTAGTAGTGTTTGTCGTTAATGGGCTCATTCTCGTTGGACTCGTAATTAGGTCATAGTCTTGTAGCTATTATAAATATCAGATCTATGTGTGATCAAATAATCAAAATTTAGATCTAATAATATTTTCTACATGGTATCGGAGCCAAATCTTGGGAAAACCTAAAATCCTAGTTTCCTCTAGTTTGCCGCTTCCGCCGCCGCCGTCGCTTGCGGTTTGTCCAGCGACGGCGACATCACCATCAGATCTCGCCACGCCGAAAGGGCGTGAAACCCTAGTTTACTCTAGCTTCCTCCGCCGCCGTAGTTTGTCCAGCGATGACGCCGTCACCCTCGCTCATTTACCAAAATCCGTCAGTTGCTACTCCAGCTGTTCTTCCACCTGTTTGTGATCATGCAAGAACAACCACGGTTGGTTGCTGATTTTCAGTCCGCCACAACTATTTTTGTGGGGTTGACCTTCGTCATCAAACCGCCACTGAATTTGCCGATCAAAGTCCACTGCCGCAGTCGGAGTCCCATTTGGCAGTTCATTGTCGTCGTCACCCTTAAGTTTTTAAAACAAAGGGTTGATTTTGTTTGTCTCTATTAATCTAAGGGTGCTGGTCATATAGTGACTGCTCTAATGTTGGCCACACGATGTTGAAATCCAATTTGTTCATATGGGTTGATTTTGCAGATTCCCGAGTCAGATTTTTTTTAAGATTCTAGATTTGTTTTTATTTGTACTCCACGGAGGAAGGTTTTTATGTTCACTCTACCGTTCATCGAAATATGATGATGTTTTTGGCAAGGTTGTTTTTGGTTGCTATTTGGTATGTTCAAGTGCAACCAACTGTATGTTTGGCTTTTTGTTTGTGAGGTTGGTCGCATAGTTGCGCCTCAGTCCGACATATCAATTTGTGAGGTTGGTCGCATAGTCGCACCTCGCAACACGGCCTCCAAGTTTGGGATGCCTATTAGTCATCCCCGTGTCACCGCGTGGGAGTCATTCGTCATCAAAAGTTATTGTTCGTTTGCAGGGCCGGTCACCTAATTCGTTCGTTGTTGTCACAGCAGATCAAGTTCAAGTTGTTTATCAATTTTTTTAGTCTTAGTTTTGTTTTAATTGTCCAGGTTGTGCATTCCTTAACCTCATGCTCAACTTGAGGGGGAGTGTTAAGAAATGTAGTAGGGTATGTCATTAATGGGCTCATTCTTGTTGAACTCGTAATTAGGTCATAGTCTTGTAGCTATTATAAATAGCAGATCTATGTGTGATCAAATAATCCAAGTTTAGATCTAATAATATTTTCTACAATTCGCATGTGTGATGTGACATTACATATTTTCATGTTTGTGATTATGCATTGACATGTATGACAATATGCGTTAACATGTCTGGCGTTATGTCTTTGTTTGACATTATACAGGTGCATGTCTAGCTAGAGTTATATATTGACATGTTTATCATTATTCATTTTGTGTGTGGTATTATATGTTATCATGTTTGACGTTATATTATAACTTTGTTTGATACTATATATATATATTGACCGTTAATGTAGGACTACAACAACGACAGTGGTAGGATCGTGGTCACAATGAGCCAATGACGGTTGTCTGTAGTTCCAGATCATAGCTGCGGTTGCGGGTCGTCGCAAGGTGGCAGCGGCAACGACAGATCGGGGTGGTAGCTTATTTAAGGATTGCAATTATATTTTTATACTTTAATTTCTCAATGAATTCAATTTTATGTTAAAGAAATAGATATATGTCCTATAACGATTGGGAATTAAAGTTTTTGCTCTTGTTTCGTTTTACAAAGTACTTGATACGGCCCGTCAGGTGTTGGAGCGCGCGGAAAGCCCAGGAATACAACGAGAGCCAAGATGTTCGGGCCGGGCGTCTAGACCACCGGCCCGACTTCGTGATTACGTTTAAGAATTTTATTTATTTTATTTAATTTCATATATCGTTGTACTTTTAGATTTTCTTTAGGTGAGCGAATTATAAGCTCCTTCGAGGGTTTCTTTTCGGTTCTTTACCTCGATGCTTTTCTTGAACCGACAGGGTTAGGGTTACTTTCATTCTCTATTTATACTTTACGTCCGGATATTGAAAGAGTTATGAATGAAAGTGATTTAGTTAGACATAATTTTCTTGTTCTTTGTGTTCTCTAAAACCCTAACTTCCCTAGCCGTCCTTCCCTTGCTCTTTGCCGGCGGCACAGGTGCTTCCATAAACTGGTGCTTTCATCATGCTCGAACTCGAAGATGTCCGGCGATGAATCTCCTTCCTCCCCGTCGCATGTCAATCAGGCTTTGGACGATATGCGGACGGCCATCCAGAACCTTGCCTTGGAGATCCGTACTTCCCGTCAGGAACATCAAGCATTGGTCCAACGCGTGGACACCTTATTCGACCCTCGGGGTTTTACTCCTCCCACGCCCAGGGGCGGGTTTGGACAGACGCCCAACGGCTCCGTATGTTTTAGTCATATTCTGATCTTTTTCTCTTTTATATTGTCCAAAATCCTAAATAATATCGATAAAAACAAAACCAAGAGGGCCGATGTGTACCATTTTAACCATTTCTTCACCATGGTAGGTTAGAAGGATGACGGTGAAGCTTAGGTTGGTAGTGTGGACCAAGGAAGGGCCATCCGACGACATTTCATATTCATCTTCGGTCTTGATTTCTTCCTTCACATTCACATCAACATCATTTTTTGTTGATATTTCATCCCATTCACCTGTTGATCTGATCCATTGTTTAGCTCAGAATAAATCAATGTAAAAAAAATTGGTTCAACTTAGATTTTAAAGGGTTGCATGGTAGGTTTGATAAAAATGATAAATAAGGTCTTTCTTTCGAGTTTTGACCTTCATCTTCTGTTTATCTGTTGTATTGATATGAATTGAACAATTAAACACTCAGTCCCCCACAAACTTTGATCCATTAATGAAAAATTACATTAAGAATAACCTACTTTATTCATTCAGGTCTATGTGATCATTTCAACTTTTACGATATACGAAGTATAAAATTTTAAGAAAGAGCTTTTAGAACTTAAACTTTTAATTTTTAATTTTTCCCAGTTTCTACAAGTTTTTTCTAGTTTTTTCCAATTTTTCTGATCTCTTCCAATATTTTTTTGTTTCTTATAGTTATTTCAACTATTCCCAATTTCTTGAATCTTTTTCTACTCTCTATACAACGACTCTAAAAATGATGTGCTTTTCATATAATACTATTACTATTGTTATTATTATTAGCATTATTATTATTGTTATTATTATTATTATTATTAAATTTTTGTTTTTGTTATTATTGAATTTGGTGGTGGTGGTGGTGCTATTGTTGTTGTTGTTGTTATTATTATTATTGTTGTTGTTGTTTTTATGTTCAAAGCTATTGTTTATAAATAATTTTTATTTTTATTTTTTTCCCATGTTTCTATTTTTGTAATTTTCCATCTTTATTATTTTTCATTCATTTTTTTAGTATAAATAATACAATTTTATTAGAAGTACTGTTTTTTATACAATGGGATTGTGCAATGGTACGAGATTGATAGTCACGCGTTTGGCGACTCATTCAATACAAGGAAGAATTCTGACATGTACACATACGGGCCAAGAGGTATTGATCCCAAGATTGTCATTAACTCCTTCAGATCCACGTATTCCTTTCAAATTTCAAAGAAGACAGTTTCCTATAATGGTTTCCTATGCAATGACCATTAACAAAATCCAAGGCCAATCATTGTCTCACATAGGACTTTTTTTTAAAAAACCTATTTTCAGTCATGGACAATTATATGTTGTAGTTTCGAGAGTTACAGATCGTAGTGGTTTAAAAATACTAATATGTGATGAAAGTGGAGAACTTAAACGCTCCACAATAAATGTTGTTTATAAAGACGTATTTCATAGTCTGTAGATGTTCAAGCAATGTATTTTGTAATGATTTTGCTTACACTTTTCAAATGTAAAACAATTTTTTCCTTCCTAAATTTCAATTTATAATATTTGCATATATTAATACATCCTGAAGTATGAAATCAAAAAATAATGTTATATTCTTAATAAATACTTCATCTGTCCTAAAATTAACTTCCCAGTTTAACTTTTGCAACCATGTTTTTTAAACTTTGACCACATATTACGAAAATACATTGATGAAAAGTTAATGATCAAATTGTTGCATGGAGAGCGTGAAAGTTTAAATGAAAAGTTAATTTAAAGACGGAGAGAGTAACAAACTTTTGTCCGTGCAACGCACCAGTATGAATCTAGTGCTCACAAACCTCATAAATTTACTATTTGTGAAATTTCAATATAAAAAAATAAATAGTCTAAAATAATTTTAAAATGAAAATTTAGACCATAAATTATAAGTTTGTAACTATTTTATTCAGGGCCGGCCCAATAGGTGGACAAAGTGTCCGTCCGGGCCGGACCCAATAATTTAAGTGGGCACAAATTTTTTTTAAGTATTATATATATGTATATAAGAAGCCCATCTCATTAAGACCTAGGCCCAGCCCACCCCTCACCACTTAGCCCAATGCCCCAATCCACCCTCACCCGTATGTTGACAAAAAAAAAGAATCCACAGAGAAAGGATGCAGAAGAGTGCAAGAGCCGATAGCAGAAGAAAGGACGCCGAAGAAACGACGCTGGCACGCCGCCGAACGCCGACCTCCACCCTTCAGGTATTCCATATTCAATTATTCATAGTTTTTCAATTTTGTAATTTTTATTTCTTAAATCTTAATTTTCTTTCATTGTTTCATTTTTTTAGATTTAAAATCTAGGATTAATTATTAGTTTTTAATTTGAAATCTTTTCGAATTTCATTCTTTGAAATAGAATGAATTAATGGTTCTATGTGTTATTTATTTGAATTGGATGAATTGATTTGAATTTTTTATTTATAATATATTTATATAAAAAAACTGAAAACCGAAAAAAAAATTAAAAACTGATAAATTGACGAATTGATATGAATTTATGATTTATAAACAAATTAAAACTGAAAAAGAAAAAAATAATTAAAAAAGAAAAATTGATGAATTGATATGAATTTATGATATATATATATTTATTTGTTTGCTTTTTCAGTTTTTCATACTTGATTTTACTAAGGAGTAGAGTTTATGAATTTGGATTTAATTTCAGAAATACTTCAATAGCTATGACTCCTTAACAATTATCCGGTAGTCAAAAAAGAAAAAAGAGAAAACGAGATGAAGAAATGAGAATGTCTCAAGTCGGAGCTCTATATAAGTTTATAAAACCTGAAGACAAAGAAGTAGAAGTAAAAGAGATGGAAGAGCAAGAGCATCTACAAATATGTTAATTTGTTAGATCATTAGGGATAATATTTTTAGTGCCTTTTTTCTGTTTCGGCCCAGACATATGAATTCTCAGGATCGGCCTTGATTTTATTTATGAACATAGCATTGCTCAAAAAAATTCACTTAAAGAGAGGAACAAAAAAGGAAAACAAAAACAACCAAAAAAAGAGAAAAGGAAAGAGAAGACCGGAGTGAAGAAAAAAAGAAACGAAAAGCTAAACATGTGCGGGGGAGGGGCTGAAAAAAACAAAAAAGAAAGAAGAGAGGGCATCTTAGGAGAGGAAAAAGAAAAAAATGGGGTCAAAATTGAGAAAACAAAAATATACTCCGTATAAATTATGATTTGGTCCATAGGGAGGTACTGATCGCCTGGAAATTGACTCGAAGTACCATTGATGAAGAGGTTTTCAAAGTTTAGAAACTTTTACGATAGAATTGAAATTTAGATACCAAAATAAAATACTCCGTATTTCTTAAAATTCAGGTAATAGTAGTAAAATTTAGCGTAAATTTCTTAAAAGGTCACAGTTATATTTCATTTTACATATTTAGTCTCTACATATTAAATATAAATAATTTAGTCCCCAATTATTATATTGTTTCCCACAAATGGTCCTATGTTAACATTTCTGTTAAATACATGGATAAAATGGTAAATTCGCACTCCTCTCTTTCCTTAATTAAACTTCATCCCTCCTCTCGCACTCATTTCCCAAACTTGTAGCTGAGTTTGAAGCTCTAAACTAAAAACTGAAATGATCACTCCTTTCTCAATCGTTCATCTTCCTGCAACCCAAAATCGAAATCAATAACTTTCGTGGATGATTTTTATGGGTTAGTCTCAGAAAATTATAAAAAAACAAATCTTATAACTCATCCATGAAGGTTACTGGTTTCGATATTGGATTCCACCAAGAAGACAAAAAATTGAGACAGGATGATTTCAGTTTTGGGATCAAAGCTTCAAACTCAGCGACGAGTTTGGGAAAGGAGTGCGAGAAGAGGGAGGAAGATTAATTGAGGAGGGAGGGAGCGTGAATATACAATTTTATCCACGGTTTTAACGGAAATGTTAACAAAGGACCATTCGTGGAAAACAATATAATAATTGGGGACTAAATTATTGATATTTGATATGTAGGGACTAAATATGTAAAACGAACTATAAGTAGGAATCTTTTATGGAATTTACTCTAAAATTTATTATTCTAATGTGTGCAAATGTTGCGTGTTATGATTTTTATAGTTTTTACATTGTTTATGCTGAGTTGTATTTTTCGATGTAGAAAGGAAGGGCACTGAGGGGGTGGGATAGAGGGGCAAATGTGGACATTTAGGAAGAGTGAAAACCACTAATTTTGCGAAATAACGCAAGTATTTCAGTTGAACCCGATGTCATTGGATGATACTTAAAGGGACTGTCATCGAATCTCGCCGAACGGCCGAATCATAGATATATTCCCTATGTTCGAAAATGTTTTTCTCTTTTTTTGTAGTTTCGTTTGGAAATATTTTTCCAATTTCCTTTATAAGTTTGCTTTTTGTTAGGGTAAATGTCAATAATTCCACTTTACCACCAACCCATGGGTTACTTATTTTTAATAAGAAAATGAGTTTCAAAAGTTTGAAGTATGGACATCCTTGAAAACTTAGCACATATTTATCTAATTCTAAATAAGCGTATCAAGTCGACATGAGAATAACATTTCGAGAAAAAAGAGTAATTTCTTATTCCATCCTTATGAACTATCCAAATTAATCTTCTTTCCTTTTTCGAGACTTTTTTGTAGTTCTTCTTTTTCTCTCTTTTACATTACTTTCAATTAAATAATTTTTTTCTTAAAATCTGTGCAAAATCAAAGGAAAGGAAAGGAGTATAATTTTGGGGACAACTTTGTATTTTTGGAATTTTTAAAGGGGTACTAATTGAATTGGGTCCACCCGGTTTTTGTTTTCAATGGTATGCATCCAACACCTGTCCCAACTTATTCAACGCACACATGGCCCTCCTCAGTTCTCTGTGTTTTGTCTCATAGAGCATAGCTTTAACTGGTTCCTCTCCCATCAGAAGATTTTAGCTTTCTTAATACTCCGTACTAAGATGCAGATCCAGAAGCCTTCATTTTTCAAGATCTTATTGGGCGACTTCGCCACTGTTCTCGTAAGTTTCTCAATCCCCCATTATAATTATTTCGTACCGATCTCCAGAATTATGGCGCTGATTGCTTATAAATTAAATGTGTTACATACAGCGTTTGCCGCTGCTGTTTGTGGAGGTTTACGGGGAGAGGCTTTCGCCGACGGTGTCACTCGCCACCGGCGCATCGCCGGAGAAATCATGGGCGGTGAAGGTCGAGAAGAGCGGCGATCATTGGGTGTTGGGAGATGGTTGGTCGGCTTTTGTGAAGGGGAACCGTTTGGAAGCAGGGGATTTCGCTATTTTCTGGCTGATGGATAATTGGTCTACCTTCAAGGTCCGGCTCTATGACTGCACTTGCTGCGATAAGCAACTTTCTTCCAGATTCTTCTCCCCTGGTGGATTTCCTGGTACAGGCATCGATCACCCTTTTCCCTTACAAATCTTGTTTGATTGAGGCCTTTCCGGTGGGGTTTGACTCGGGCTTGTTGGAATAATAGAATAATACTAACTCTTTTCAACTTTTGACCTATAATTAAATAAAATTTATATTGTATTTTAATTAAATAAAATAATATTTTGAAAATATTTCAAATAATCAATTTAATAAAACTATTTTTTTATCAATATCTAATATCATTTTTATTTAATTTGAAATCTAAAGTTTGTCAATTTTGACCGAAAAAAGTCAAAAGTGGATATAAATACTCAGAGACGGTGGAGTTTGATATTTAGGAATAATGGAGGAGAATGCAAGAGAGTATATATTGGAAACAATTCTAACACGAGTAGAAAACAACCTAATAATAGAAGCTGACTAATAAACAAATAATACCATCACTAATACTACCAAAAGTAGTGTTATTATTGTCTAACATATCTCCTCAAGCTTCCTCTCACTGAAGCAAGATCAAGCTTTGGACGTTATCTAGGAATTGGGTACGCTGTGAAGGTGATGGTTGAATGCCAACTTTAACTTGAATTAGGATTAGAAGAGACTGAATGCATCCAGACTGAAATGATGTGCGAAGACTGATGTGCGCTTGTAACTACTGGCGTCTTTGAAGAAGAGAGAAGGCTGACACGCCCAGGTAATTGTAGAAGAAAATTATAGAAGAGAGAAGGCCTATTTGATTGAAGATGCTTGACATTCTTTGTCCTTTTCTTGGATTCGGGTAATGTCATGTTTCTTTTCTCAATTGTGAGAGTCCTTTATAGCTTTATTTGAGGGATGAGTTGTTGAGGTATTCTTCCTCTTCCTCTAATTTCCCTCTTGGCTTTGATTTACTTTGGGTAGTTATTGGTTCTATAGAAGAGAAAAAGAAGAGAGATTGATTATTAAGAATGGGAAATTTGAGAGAGAGGAAAAAGTGGATTAAGAATAGGTGATAAAGAAGAAGACCCGATAGTGAGATTCTAATCTAGTACCAATGGGAGTTGCCTATCCTTCAACGATGATTGACTAGATTTTGCGGCAACATGCAATTGGATTTAGGGGAGACGAAAGTTATGAGGTTTGGTGATAATGAAAAACAAGAATGCGAAGGTGGTGTTGGTATATTAGCCGAGAAGGTGGTTGGAATTTAGTTGCGGTTCGGAGTGGTTGATTGCTTAGATGACGCCGGTCGAAGTGCGGTAGTCAAATTAGGCCACGGTCCCCTGAGTTTTTGGCTTGTAAAGTGTCAAATTGCCGATTGGAACATAAAACTGATAAAAGAATGTGGTCAGAAAAGAAGAAGGATTGGTAAGGTGGAATAGGATGAACCCATCGTCGTCGGATAAATTACTGGTGACGATGGAAGGAAAGAACACTTTTTAGGTCACGAGGTGCGGTAACTCCAAATCGTACCTTGTCGCAATAATAGGTTATTTAAGAATAATGAAGAATACACGAAAATATATATAGGAAGAAATCTTAATATAAGTAGACATCAACCTAACAATAGAAGCTAATTGATAAACAAACAATACTACTCCCTCCGTCCGGAAAAAATCTTCCCGTTTCTCCTTTTTCCCCGTCCGGAAAAAATCTTCCCATTTCAATTTTTAACACACAAACTACCCTAAACACCCTCACCCATTTATCTTCTGTTTTTTTCCTTTCCTTTTTTTTCTCCTTTGTTCCGTCGTTTCTCCTCAGCCATTTCTTATTCTTCTCTCTCTCCCACACCCACCACTCAGCCATTTCTTCTTCTTCTCTGCTCTTTCTCCCAATCTTCATCATCTTCTTCAGATTTACTCTTTCTTCTTCTTGTTCTGCGCCCATCCTCCTCCTCCCCCCCATCGATCTGCGCCCAGATCGACAGATCTGTTCATTCTCCTCCTCCTATTCCCCTCCCTCTTTCTTCTTTCTCCTCTTTCTCTTTTTCTCCCGGACATGGCGGCTGACGACGGTGGCCTAGCGCCTAGCAGCGTAGGGTTGAGATTTTTCTTCTCCTTTCTAGTGTCAACTATTTTAGATCTAAATTTCGGGCGGGCTGACAATTGTGANGCAGATCGATGGGGGGGAGGAGGAGGATGGGCGCAGAACAAGAAGAAGAAAGAGTAAATCTGAAGAAGATGATGAAGATTGGGAGAAAGAGCAGAGAAGAAGAAGAAATGGCTGAGTGGTGGGTGTGGGAGAGAGAGAAGAATAAGAAATGGCTGAGGAGAAACGACGGAACAAAGGAGAAAAAAAAGGAAAGGAAAAAAACAGAAGATAAATGGGTGAGGGTGTTTAGGGTAGTTTGTGTGTTAAAAATTGAAATGGGAAGATTTTTTCCGGACGGGGAAAAAGGAGAAACGGGAAGATTTTTTCCGGACGGAGGGAGTAGTATTGTTTGTTTATCAATTAGCTTCTATTGTTAGGTTGATGTCTACTTATATTAAGATTTCTTCCTATATATATTTTCGTGTATTCTTCATTATTCTTAAATAACCTATTATTGCGACAAGGTACGATTTGGAGTTACCGCACCTCGTGACCTAAAAAGTGTTCTTTCCTTCCATCGTCACCAGTAATTTATCCGACGACGATGGGTTCATCCTATTCCACCTTACCAATCCTTCTTCTTTTCTGACCACATTCTTTTATCAGTTTTATGTTCCAATCGGCAATTTGACACTTTACAAGCCAAAAACTCAGGGGACCGTGGCCTAATTTGACTACCGCACTTCGACCGGCGTCATCTAAGCAATCAACCACTCCGAACCGCAACTAAATTCCAACCACCTTCTCGGCTAATATACCAACACCACCTTCGCATTCTTGTTTTTCATTATCACCAAACCTCATAACTTTCGTCTCCCCTAAATCCAATTGCATGTTGCCGCAAAATCTAGTCAATCATCGTTGAAGGATAGGCAACTCCCATTGGTACTAGATTAGAATCTCACTATCGGGTCTTCTTCTTTATCACCTATTCTTAATCCACTTTTTCCTCTCTCTCAAATTTCCCATTCTTAATAATCAATCTCTCTTCTTTTTCTCTTCTATAGAACCAATAACTACCCAAAGTAAATCAAAGCCAAGAGGGAAATTAGAGGAAGAGGAAGAATACCTCAACAACTCATCCCTCAAATAAAGCTATAAAGGACTCTCACAATTGAGAAAAGAAACATGACATTACCCGAATCCAAGAAAAGGACAAAGAATGTCAAGCATCTTCAATCAAATAGGCCTTCTCTCTTCTATAATTTTCTTCTACAATTACCTGGGCGTGTCAGCCTTCTCTCTTCTTCAAAGACGCCAGTAGTTACAAGCGCACATCAGTCTTCGCACATCATTTCAGTCTGGATGCATTCAGTCTCTTCTAATCCTAATTCAAGTTAAAGTTGGCATTCAACCATCACCTTCACAGCGTACCCAATTCCTAGATAACGTCCAAAGCTTGATCTTGCTTCAGTGAGAGGAAGCTTGAGGAGATATGTTAGACAATAATAACACTACTTTTGGTAGTATTAGTGATGGTATTATTTGTTTATTAGTCAGCTTCTATTATTAGGTTGTTTTCTACTCGTGTTAGAATTGTTTCCAATATATACTCTCTTGCATTCTCCTCCATTATTCCTAAATATCAAACTCCACCGTCTCTGAGTATTTATATCCACTTTTGACTTTTTTCGGTCAAAATTGACAAACTTTAGATTTCAAATTAAATAAAAATGATATTAGATATTGATAAAAAAATAGTTTTATTAAATTGATTATTTGAAATATTTTCAAAATATTATTTTATTTAATTAAAATACAATATAAATTTTATTTAATTATAGGTCAAAAGTTGAAAAGAGTTAGTATTATTCTATTATTCCAACAAGCCCGAGTCAAACCCCACCGGAAAGGCCTCAATCAAACAAGATTTGTAAGGGAAAAGGGTGATCGATGCCTGTACCAGGAAATCCACCAGGGGAGAAGAATCTGGAAGAAAGTTGCTTATCGCAGCAAGTGCAGTCATAGAGCCGGACCTTGAAGGTAGACCAATTATCCATCAGCCAGAAAATAGCGAAATCCCCTGCTTCCAAACGGTTCCCCTTCACAAAAGCCGACCAACCATCTCCCAACACCCAATGATCGCCGCTCTTCTCGACCTTCACCGCCCATGATTTCTCCGGCGATGCGCCGGTGGCGAGTGACACCGTCGGCGAAAGCCTCTCCCCGTAAACCTCCACAAACAGCAGCGGCAAACGCTGTATGTAACACATTTAATTTATAAGCAATCAGCGCCATAATTCTGGAGATCGGTACGAAATAATTATAATGGGGGATTGAGAAACTTACGAGAACAGTGGCGAAGTCGCCCAATAAGATCTTGAAAAATGAAGGCTTCTGGATCTGCATCTTAGTACGGAGTATTAAGAAAGCTAAAATCTTCTGATGGGAGAGGAACCAGTTAAAGCTATGCTCTATGAGACAAAACACAGAGAACTGAGGAGGGCCATGTGTGCGTTGAATAAGTTGGGACAGGTGTTGGATGCATACCATTGAAAACAAAAACCGGGTGGACCCAATTCAATTAGTACCCCTTTAAAAATTCCAAAAATACAAAGTTGTCCCCAAAATTATACTCCTTTCCTTTCCTTTGATTTTGCACAGATTTTAAGAAAAAAATTATTTAATTGAAAGTAATGTAAAAGAGAGAAAAAGAAGAACTACAAAAAAGTCTCGAAAAAGGAAAGAAGATTAATTTGGATAGTTCATAAGGATGGAATAAGAAATTACTCTTTTTTCTCGAAATGTTATTCTCATGTCGACTTGATACGCTTATTTAGAATTAGATAAATATGTGCTAAGTTTTCAAGGATGTCCATACTTCAAACTTTTGAAACTCATTTTCTTATTAAAAATAAGTAACCCATGGGTTGGTGGTAAAGTGGAATTATTGACATTTACCCTAACAAAAAGCAAACTTATAAAGGAAATTGGAAAAATATTTCCAAACGAAACTACAAAAAAAGAGAAAAACATTTTCGAACATAGGGAATATATCTATGATTCGGCCGTTCGGCGAGATTCGATGACAGTCCCTTTAAGTATCATCCAATGACATCGGGTTCAACTGAAATACTTGCGTTATTTCGCAAAATTAGTGGTTTTCACTCTTCCTAAATGTCCACATTTGCCCCTCTATCCCACCCCCTCAGTGCCCTTCCTTTCTACATCGAAAAATACAACTCAGCATAAACAATGTAAAAACTATAAAAATCATAACACGCAACATTTGCACACATTAGAATAATAAATTTTAGAGTAAATTCCATAAAAGATTCCTACTTATAGTTCGTTTTACATATTTAGTCCCTACATATCAAATATCAATAATTTAGTCCCCAATTATTATATTGTTTTCCACGAATGGTCCTTTGTTAACATTTCCGTTAAAACCGTGGATAAAATTGTATATTCACGCTCCCTCCCTCCTCAATTAATCTTCCTCCCTCTTCTCGCACTCCTTTCCCAAACTCGTCGCTGAGTTTGAAGCTTTGATCCCAAAACTGAAATCATCCTGTCTCAATTTTTTGTCTTCTTGGTGGAATCCAATATCGAAACCAGTAACCTTCATGGATGAGTTATAAGATTTGTTTTTTTATAATTTTCTGAGACTAACCCATAAAAATCATCCACGAAAGTTATTGATTTCGATTTTGGGTTGCAGGAAGATGAACGATTGAGAAAGGAGTGATCATTTCAGTTTTTAGTTTAGAGCTTCAAACTCAGCTACAAGTTTGGGAAATGAGTGCGAGAGGAGGGATGAAGTTTAATTAAGGAAAGAGAGGAGTGCGAATTTACCATTTTATCCATGTATTTAACAGAAATGTTAACATAGGACCATTTGTGGGAAACAATATAATAATTGGGGACTAAATTATTTATATTTAATATGTAGAGACTAAATATGTAAAATGAAATATAACTGTGACCTTTTAAGAAATTTACGCTAAATTTTACTACTATTACCTGAATTTTAAGAAATACGGAGTATTTTATTTTGGTATCTAAATTTCAATTCTATCGTAAAAGTTTCTAAACTTTGAAAACCTCTTCATCAATGGTACTTCGAGTCAATTTCCAGGCGATCAGTACCTCCCTATGGACCAAATCATAATTTATACGGAGTATATTTTTGTTTTCTCAATTTTGACCCCATTTTTTTCTTTTTCCTCTCCTAAGATGCCCTCTCTTCTTTCTTTTTTGTTTTTTTCAGCCCCTCCCCCGCACATGTTTAGCTTTTCGTTTCTTTTTTTCTTCACTCCGGTCTTCTCTTTCCTTTTCTCTTTTTTTGGTTGTTTTTGTTTTCCTTTTTTGTTCCTCTCTTTAAGTGAATTTTTTTGAGCAATGCTATGTTCATAAATAAAATCAAGGCCGATCCTGAGAATTCATATGTCTGGGCCGAAACAGAAAAAAGGCACTAAAAATATTATCCCTAATGATCTAACAAATTAACATATTTGTAGATGCTCTTGCTCTTCCATCTCTTTTACTTCTACTTCTTTGTCTTCAGGTTTTATAAACTTATATAGAGCTCCGACTTGAGACATTCTCATTTCTTCATCTCGTTTTCTCTTTTTTCTTTTTTGACTACCGGATAATTGTTAAGGAGTCATAGCTATTGAAGTATTTCTGAAATTAAATCCAAATTCATAAACTCTACTCCTTAGTAAAATCAAGTATGAAAAACTGAAAAAGCAAACAAATAAATATATATATATCATAAATTCATATCAATTCATCAATTTTTCTTTTTTAATTATTTTTTTCTTTTTCAGTTTTAATTTGTTTATAAATCATAAATTCATATCAATTCGTCAATTTATCAGTTTTTAATTTTTTTTTCGGTTTTCAGTTTTTTTATATAAATATATTATAAATAAAAAATTCAAATCAATTCATCCAATTCAAATAAATAACACATAGAACCATTAATTCATTCTATTTCAAAGAATGAAATTCGAAAAGATTTCAAATTAAAAACTAATAATTAATCCTAGATTTTAAATCTAAAAAAATGAAACAATGAAAGAAAATTAAGATTTAAGAAATAAAAATTACAAAATTGAAAAACTATGAATAATTGAATATGGAATACCTGAAGGGTGGAGGTCGGCGTTCGGCGGCGTGCCAGCGTCGTTTCTTCGGCGTCCTTTCTTCTGCTATCGGCTCTTGCACTCTTCTGCATCCTTTCTCTGTGGATTCTTTTTTTTTGTCAACATACGGGTGAGGGTGGATTGGGGCATTGGGCTAAGTGGTGAGGGGTGGGCTGGGCCTAGGTCTTAATGAGATGGGCTTCTTATATACATATATATAATACTTAAAAAAAATTTGTGCCCACTTAAATTATTGGGTCCGGCCCGGACGGACACTTTGTCCACCTATTGGGCCGGCCCTGAATAAAATAGTTACAAACTTATAATTTATGGTCTAAATTTTCATTTTAAAATTATTTTAGACTATTTATTTTTTTATATTGAAATTTCACAAATAGTAAATTTATGAGGTTTGTGAGCACTAGATTCATACTGGTGCGTTGCACGGACAAAAGTTTGTTACTCTCTCCGTCTTTAAATTAACTTTTCATTTAAACTTTCACGCTCTCCATGCAACAATTTGATCATTAACTTTTCATCAATGTATTTTCGTAATATGTGGTCAAAGTTTAAAAAACATGGTTGCAAAAGTTAAACTGGGAAGTTAATTTTAGGACAGATGAAGTATTTATTAAGAATATAACATTATTTTTTGATTTCATACTTCAGGATGTATTAATATATGCAAATATTATAAATTGAAATTTAGGAAGGAAAAAATTGTTTTACATTTGAAAAGTGTAAGCAAAATCATTACAAAATACATTGCTTGAACATCTACAGACTATGAAATACGTCTTTATAAACAACATTTATTGTGGAGCGTTTAAGTTCTCCACTTTCATCACATATTAGTATTTTTAAACCACTACGATCTGTAACTCTCGAAACTACAACATATAATTGTCCATGACTGAAAATAGGTTTTTTAAAAAAAAGTCCTATGTGAGACAATGATTGGCCTTGGATTTTGTTAATGGTCATTGCATAGGAAACCATTATAGGAAACTGTCTTCTTTGAAATTTGAAAGGAATACGTGGATCTGAAGGAGTTAATGACAATCTTGGGATCAATACCTCTTGGCCCGTATGTGTACATGTCAGAATTCTTCCTTGTATTGAATGAGTCGCCAAACGCGTGACTATCAATCTCGTACCATTGCACAATCCCATTGTATAAAAAACAGTACTTCTAATAAAATTGTATTATTTATACTAAAAAAATGAATGAAAAATAATAAAGATGGAAAATTACAAAAATAGAAACATGGGAAAAAAATAAAAATAAAAATTATTTATAAACAATAGCTTTGAACATAAAAACAACAACAACAATAATAATAATAACAACAACAACAACAATAGCACCACCACCACCACCAAATTCAATAATAACAAAAACAAAAATTTAATAATAATAATAATAATAACAATAATAATAATGCTAATAATAATAACAATAGTAATAGTATTATATGAAAAGCACATCATTTTTAGAGTCGTTGTATAGAGAGTAGAAAAAGATTCAAGAAATTGGGAATAGTTGAAATAACTATAAGAAACAAAAAAATATTGGAAGAGATCAGAAAAATTGGAAAAAACTAGAAAAAACTTGTAGAAACTGGGAAAAATTAAAAATTAAAAGTTTAAGTTCTAAAAGCTCTTTCTTAAAATTTTATACTTCGTATATCGTAAAAGTTGAAATGATCACATAGACCTGAATGAATAAAGTAGGTTATTCTTAATGTAATTTTTCATTAATGGATCAAAGTTTGTGGGGGACTGAGTGTTTAATTGTTCAATTCATATCAATACAACAGATAAACAGAAGATGAAGGTCAAAACTCGAAAGAAAGACCTTATTTATCATTTTTATCAAACCTACCATGCAACCCTTTAAAATCTAAGTTGAACCAATTTTTTTTACATTGATTTATTCTGAGCTAAACAATGGATCAGATCAACAGGTGAATGGGATGAAATATCAACAAAAAATGATGTTGATGTGAATGTGAAGGAAGAAATCAAGACCGAAGATGAATATGAAATGTCGTCGGATGGCCCTTCCTTGGTCCACACTACCAACCTAAGCTTCACCGTCATCCTTCTAACCTACCATGGTGAAGAAATGGTTAAAATGGTACACATCGGCCCTCTTGGTTTTGTTTTTATCGATATTATTTAGGATTTTGGACAATATAAAAGAGAAAAAGATCAGAATATGACTAAAACATACGGAGCCGTTGGGCGTCTGTCCAAACCCGCCCCTGGGCGTGGGAGGAGTAAAACCCCGAGGGTCGAATAAGGTGTCCACGCGTTGGACCAATGCTTGATGTTCCTGACGGGAAGTACGGATCTCCAAGGCAAGGTTCTGGATGGCCGTCCGCATATCGTCCAAAGCCTGATTGACATGCGACGGGGAGGAAGGAGATTCATCGCCGGACATCTTCGAGTTCGAGCATGATGAAAGCACCAGTTTATGGAAGCACCTGTGCCGCCGGCAAAGAGCAAGGGAAGGACGGCTAGGGAAGTTAGGGTTTTAGAGAACACAAAGAACAAGAAAATTATGTCTAACTAAATCACTTTCATTCATAACTCTTTCAATATCCGGACGTAAAGTATAAATAGAGAATGAAAGTAACCCTAACCCTGTCGGTTCAAGAAAAGCATCGAGGTAAAGAACCGAAAAGAAACCCTCGAAGGAGCTTATAATTCGCTCACCTAAAGAAAATCTAAAAGTACAACGATATATGAAATTAAATAAAATAAATAAAATTCTTAAACGTAATCACGAAGTCGGGCCGGTGGTCTAGACGCCCGGCCCGAACATCTTGGCTCTCGTTGTATTCCTGGGCTTTCCGCGCGCTCCAACACCTGACGGGCCGTATCAAGTACTTTGTAAAACGAAACAAGAGCAAAAACTTTAATTCCCAATCGTTATAGGACATATATCTATTTCTTTAACATAAAATTGAATTCATTGAGAAATTAAAGTATAAAAATATAATTGCAATCCTTAAATAAGCTACCACCCCGATCTGTCGTTGCCGCTGCCACCTTGCGACGACCCGCAACCGCAGCTATGATCTGGAACTACAGACAACCGTCATTGGCTCATTGTGACCACGATCCTACCACTGTCGTTGTTGTAGTCCTACATTAACGGTCAATATATATATATAGTATCAAACAAAGTTATAATATAACGTCAAACATGATAACATATAATACCACACACAAAATGAATAATGATAAACATGTCAATATATAACTCTAGCTAGACATGCACCTGTATAATGTCAAACAAAGACATAACGCCAGACATGTTAACGCATATTGTCATACATGTCAATGCATAATCACAAACATGAAAATATGTAATGTCACATCACACATGCGAATTGTAGAAAATATTATTAGATCTAAACTTGGATTATTTGATCACACATAGATCTGCTATTTATAATAGCTACAAGACTATGACCTAATTACGAGTTCAACAAGAATGAGCCCATTAATGACATACCCTACTACATTTCTTAACACTCCCCCTCAAGTTGAGCATGAGGTTAAGGAATGCACAACCTGGACAATTAAAACAAAACTAAGACTAAAAAAATTGATAAACAACTTGAACTTGATCTGCTGTGACAACAACGAACGAATTAGGTGACCGGCCCTGCAAACGAACAATAACTTTTGATGACGAATGACTCCCACGCGGTGACACGGGGATGACTAATAGGCATCCCAAACTTGGAGGCCGTGTTGCGAGGTGCGACTATGCGACCAACCTCACAAATTGATATGTCGGACTGAGGCGCAACTATGCGACCAACCTCACAAACAAAAAGCCAAACATACAGTTGGTTGCACTTGAACATACCAAATAGCAACCAAAAACAACCTTGCCAAAAACATCATCATATTTCGATGAACGGTAGAGTGAACATAAAAACCTTCCTCCGTGGAGTACAAATAAAAACAAATCTAGAATCTTAAAAAAAATCTGACTCGGGAATCTGCAAAATCAACCCATATGAACAAATTGGATTTCAACATCGTGTGGCCAACATTAGAGCAGTCACTATATGACCAGCACCCTTAGATTAATAGAGACAAACAAAATCAACCCTTTGTTTTAAAAACTTAAGGGTGACGACGACAATGAACTGCCAAATGGGACTCCGACTGCGGCAGTGGACTTTGATCGGCAAATTCAGTGGCGGTTTGATGACGAAGGTCAACCCCACAAAAATAGTTGTGGCGGACTGAAAATCAGCAACCAACCGTGGTTGTTCTTGCATGATCACAAACAGGTGGAAGAACAGCTGGAGTAGCAACTGACGGATTTTGGTAAATGAGCGAGGGTGACGGCGTCATCGCTGGACAAACTACGGCGGCGGAGGAAGCTAGAGTAAACTAGGGTTTCACGCCCTTTCGGCGTGGCGAGATCTGATGGTGATGTCGCCGTCGCTGGACAAACCGCAAGCGACGGCGGCGGCGGAAGCGGCAAACTAGAGGAAACTAGGATTTTAGGTTTTCCCAAGATTTGGCTCCGATACCATGTAGAAAATATTATTAGATCTAAATTTTGATTATTTGATCACACATAGATCTGATATTTATAATAGCTACAAGACTATGACCTAATTACGAGTCCAACGAGAATGAGCCCATTAACGACAAACACTACTACATTCCTTAACAGTGTTTCTGTTGAAGGTATTCTTAATTGCCTTTCCATCGGATCTTGTCGTTGTTGATACGCACGTAGATGCACCGGGGAAGGGAGAAGTTGCAAAGGATCCAATATTGAGCAATGTCATCATCGCATGTAGCCTTGTGCCTTCGTCCAAAACAGCCCAAGTAACAGATGTAAATTATACGCAAGCGGACATCTCCCTGGCCTTTGATATCATCCAGTCCCCTACCCATGCAAATATAGTGGAGTCCGAGTTTTGGGTTTCACCGTCGGAAGCTAAGTTTGTATTTGCTCTTCTCTAAGAAAAATAATAAAGAAAAAAGGAGAGGTGATGTTGGTGCCCATTTCTAAATTCATAGGGGACAGCGGCACTATTCATTTAATATTTGAAGCATATTTTAGTCTAGAGGGTATTAGTGTAGGAAATTTAAGATCACAATGGGCAATAATACAATAAATTCCTTGTATGAGAT